ACGAGACCCATTATCAACTACACCGTGTAATTAACTAGATAATATTTACTCATCGTAAACATAATTTACGGTATCATCTACGTAGAAAAGTTGTTGGTGTAAAATATCTTTCAATACAAGCGAATGCGATTTAAAAAGTAATTTACAGATGGTCACAGCTTCGATTGTATTAGTGGCGCTACTGGTTGTGTCCTAGCTGACTGACCAACATTATCTAAGTTGACAGTTCCATTAATAATCTGACGACTATGCCCTTATAACAAAAGTAAATTGTTTATACTGTGGAGAAAGCCTTCTCCGACGTTCGGTAGGATCGTTGACCAGTCTAAGCAAAGAAAATAACAAGAAAGGAAAGGCTGGGAAAATGCAATCTTTCTTAGAGGAAGAAAGATTTTAGAAGACATTAATGATTATGAACTAATCGGTTTTGAAAACCCTCAATGTTGAAGCGGCCTGTTTAAAGCTGTGTAGAGAATGACACGTAAATAACTATAAGAAATAATAAGCACAACCTTCACATACATAAAAAACTTACTTAATAAAATTATGAATAAAAGACCTTGTGTCGAGGACGATAACAAATCAAGTGAAAAAGCTAATATAGACGTTATCTTAACGGCTAGAGCCATAAGATCAAAGGACCAACAAAGCTACTCGACAACATTTGTGTTTCAACAATTTTGACTAACCTTCGCTGAATTTAGAAGATTATACTTATATTGCTCCATAATGTCTAATCGATTTATTTTTGATTTCCCTACACTTTACTTGCTGGAAGACAAAGACAGCGCCTTGTTCTGATAATCCAAAAAAATCCATTCCTTAGCAGTTTGTAACAAGCAAAATGGATCGTATACCTGTTTGGATCTGGGTTCTCGTTCCACATTATGATGAAATTGATGCATGTTGTGAATTGTGCTCGTATTTCAATAGAATATTGACAACAGTAACTATTTATTAAATATGGTAATTGTAAATGTGGGAAATGTATGCAACTAGAAAGTTAGTTCTAGGATTCTCTAAGTGTCATATCTGTCAATATGCACTTCTCCATCATTTATAGATGATGGAGGGGAAGAAAAAGCCGTGATTGCCACGCCAGTAACGGCTGGTTGTTCTGGTTGAACTGGCTGAGCTGTTCTCCACCTCTGGAGGTCCACCCAATAATACGCTGCTGGCTGCTGCCATACTACGGCAGCACTTATTTAATGGCGTGCTTATTCGCCATGTCGTGGGGCAGACTTAGAAATATTTAAAGGATCGCCCCTACTGTCATGATGTTGATTTCTCCATCTAATTCTCCTCAACGTTAAATATAATAAAGCCAAAATGAAATTCTTGCCACATACATTTAATGCCATCAATCTTACATCTATAATATAAACATATTTACAATTATTAGTTACAAAAGATCACAGAGCGTTGAATTTATAAGTGAAATACTTTATAACTTCAAGAAGGTATTGAAGGTTAATAAAAAAAATAGTAAATATTTACTAACATTACACTAAATTACATCAGAGCTGGTACTAAAGCTGGCTTTATATCCAAACTTCAATATTTGCGTATAAAGTTGAGTACGCAAAACTGGTGCGTACGCGCTCGAAAATACATCTCAGTTAGATTTACATAGGTAACTAAGTTCATATAATCTGTGGAATGCATGTTAACTTAAATCTTAACAACAAGAAAACGCATTAATTAGAATCTATATTATACATAATAAATAACAAACACGATCATTGCCACCCATAATTTTTTTTTTAATATAACAGGGGGCAAACGGGGAGGAGGCTCATCCGATGTTAAGATATACCGCCGCCCATAGACCCTCACTCACATTGCCAGAGGGCTCTCAAGTGCCTTGCCGGCCTTTTAAGAATTCGTACGATATTTTCTTGAAGGACCCTAAGTCGAATTGGTTCGCAATTACATCGGTGGGGAGCTGGTTCCAAAACTGGCCTTGAAAAACGCCCGGTTGTGAAATGACGGATTTCGAGATTTTGCTCGCAACGAGACGCACATAAACTCGGAGGTGGGGGTTTTGGGCAAAACAATAATTGTTTATAAGTGCACAGAAGCAATTAAATAAATATAACAATGAAACAGTTACACTTTGGTACAATGTTCATCATTATTTTGCCAGGAACCAATCCACAAAATTCTTGCTTAAATAAAACATAAAGAAAAAACTTAACTTGAAATTATCATAATTCATCTTTGTTAAAAAAAGAGGGTAGTTTTAAAACGACATCCCTTTTGTTGTTGTGACGTCACTTTACATGCTCATACTAACATCAAATTAGAATAGAGTCGACTTTAGGCCATGTTGTGAGGTCATAGCTACTTTTAGGCTAACTCACTTTTTACATTTCGTTTAATCCACATAAAATAAACCGAATTTTCGAAACCCGTACTTTTCACGTGACATTTGATAGATAGAGGTTCATTGACGCTCTAGTTCTTATTTGAATTACAATTTACAGGGCTGCCTGCGTCCAATATTATTTAAATTTTAAAGGAGAAACCGATGCAAAGTGACATCACAGCGGCGACGGGTCTTGGACACCAACAATTATTACATAAACTAGACAAAAAAAAATATCTAGATACCAGAGCCAAAACTAATTCCCTAACATTTAGAAACTAAATTCGTTCCATTATATATACTATATCATACTATATAGCGACACTAGTGACAGTTGTTATGTGGAAAGAAACGTTTTTTTATGTGGAGTTTGACTGTCAATTGTCATTCTGTGAAGTAGTCTACTCTGTGACAAAAATGGTCAAAAAATCAGTGATTTAGTTACAACAGATTAAAACATTAAATTACTATATCGTACGTGCACAGAAATACATATGTCTGTGCACGTACGATATATTGTCAAAACTGTTACGGTAGAGTTGATAAAAAAGAAATAAAGTACGCCATAAATGATTGCAAAAATTGTGATCTCAATCACAATGCACAAAAAAAATATGTTGAATCTACGGTAATGGGAGTTCTATGGAATCCGTATTATAGTATTTGTAAAATAAACTTCTGTGGCAGAACGCAAATTACATAAATGCTTCAAATATTTCTTTACTCTTAAATGTGAATTCATAGTGTATAAAACATACGCAGAATTGTGCATAAAACCATAGACGATATTTCGTTCGAATGTGATTGGTCAACCGCATCTGTAGTCCAACTAGTCTATCGTTCGTGATTTACAATCTCACCTCTACGATAATAAACTATCAGTTTCGTTTCCCATATTTAACTAACCGATAGTTCTTCATATTGTTTAGGGGATGAGAAAATATACACTGATTGATTTGTAAATGAGTCCAACTGCAGTTTTGACTAGTACTCTTTTATCTCTTTTCATCGTAGCGTAAACACAATGTCACAGAAAGAGACAAAAGAATAACAGATTGCATAGATTCGTTAGTTAAATACAAGAACATAACATACTATTTACTTATAATCTACCGATTTAATCAGAACAAATAAATATTCAGTCTTGTGAAGATTTATGAAATTCCTTTCATGTTTATTCAGTGAAATGTGTTCTCAATGGTCTACCTAATGAAGACGTAAGGCCGACATATCTTAGACCCAATAAATCATACCAGGCGCAGAAGGCTGATCGCCGACCTTTTTACGACAGGAAGGCAAACGGGCAGGATTATTCTTCTGGTGTTAAGTGATACCACAGACCATAGCATTGAGAGTGTCCATACTCTCAAAGCCAGAGGGTTCGCAAGTGCGTTGCCGACCTTTTAACACGTTAACAGACCTTGATTAACAAAAAAATATGATTCATATATACCGCGAGCGTAGCATAAACAAAAATACACTTTCAAACAATTTTAATAAAAAATTAAATTCTCTAAATCAAATAATTGTAAAACAGTAAATTTAAAACACAAAATATCAGTGTATTTTCATTTATATTAATTTAACTAAAAAACTATTATTAATTGGCTTTTCTATAAAGTTATCCAAAATTCTGTCGTAAAAATTCCCGTTAACATATTTTTAATTACACCTAAAATTAAACCAACAAAAAGGAATCTCATCTTCAAATAAATAAAGCGTTATAACCGCTCTTTACAAATTCTAGACTAGAGTAACGTCGCAGACAATGGTCATTTTATTATTATTTAGATATTCAGCAGACACCGTGACACTAAGAGCGCGGCTATAAGATGCGGTAACGGTGCGGTGCGGCGCGGAGCGGTGCCGCAACGTCATGCAACATACAAATTACTATAGCATGCCACACGCCGCGTCGCTCCGCAAGCGCGCCGGAGTTGTAACCTGCGAGACGAGGCGGGTAGGGGTAAAATATATTGCCACACCGCAACGCCCGTGTGGCACTCTATAGCTTGAAATAATTGCGGTGCGGCGCCGCACCGCACCGTTACCGCAACGTGTAGCCGCGCTCTGATAGAATATAAAAAAAAATCAATGGCGCTACAACCTTTTAAGGTCTGGGTTCAGATTTTTGAATTTGTTTCGTGATAATTTGTCTATCTAATAGGCAAGTAGGTGATCAGCCTCCTGTGCCTTTTTGGGTCACACACGCCGTCGACTTTTTGGTCGGTAGCAAGGCGGTTTCCTCACGATTTTTCCTTCACCGTTCGAGCGATTGTTAAATGCGAATATAGAAAGAAATTCCATTGGTGCAGAGCCGGGTTCGAACCTACAACCTCAGGGATGCTGCTGCCTATCGCATGCTGAAGCCATTAGACCAACTCTGTTAATAAAATATAAACCCTTGTATACATTTCTTTACTTTTATACCCTTTAACTGATTTTGGTAAATTTTGATATATTGTCCTATGAAAATTGAAAAGATGCAGCGATTAACCAATCCATGAAATTATGGCAACAACTTCTTAAAGGTTAAAAATTACAGGTTCAGTCAAAATATTTCAGGCAATTTTTTTAATATATCGCGAATAAAAATAATAAAACCACTCGTGTCTGCGACTGTACTAAATAATCAATGCGACAATTTTTCCTTACAAACTATAAGAAGCTCACTTAACTGCGAGAATTTGCTTGACGCCTCCTGAAGCATGTTTCTGAAATTATTTTTTTATTATTCAACTTGTTTTTCAAATAATTCTTTAATTAAATTTTTATAGGGAAATTTTTTTTTTTTTTTGTACTAAGAATAAAATAAATAATGGTTGTTTCTATATTATTATTATTTATATGTTAGGACTTCCCACATTTTTATGTCGCTTGAACTCTTGGCTTAAAACACCTGTCAACAGTATTCACCTAGAATACCTACACATACCCATTACTACTGAACCGGTTTGATGAAACTTGAGACTTGATAGGACTTTTAGTTTGATAAATTTGTGGACATACCACTTAATGAATAGTACATGAAGCCTAGTATTATCGGATTCCAACAATATCACGAATTTTTGAAGTCAGTTTAATTTTTGTAAACTATTTATTTTATTTATTAGCATTATACATATACAATCAGGTAATGTCAATTATTAAGGAAGCAAAGGGCGGCTTTGTCGCTGAAGCGATCTCTTCTAGGCAACCCTAGTAAGGGAAAATAAATACAAAAGATGTAAAAAGTGGTAAATACCAATGTGGACTTATACAATTACCAAACTAACATCTAAAAAAAAGGGTGCGTGTACTTATGTACGCACGTAAGAAGTTATACTTCTTTGGCATTATTAAAAATAGTTTTTGATTGCATGCAAATAATTAATTACAATTAAATAATCAAAGACTGGAAAATTAGTCATTATAGTCAATAAAGTTCAGTTTACATTTGAAAAATTAAATAAATAAATATTTATTATTATTCTCTTACATTAAGTGTAACATAAATTCTATTATTATTCGAATGTTGTTTTTAAATTATGCAATGACGTAGCATATTCCGTGGGCAACTTCATTCTGTTAATTTTCCGTCACGGTGCGCGCGCATCGTAAAATTTGACTCTCATCAATTTTTCATAACGCGCCTAAAGAAGTATAACTTCAAAAAAATATTATTACTTCATAAGTTCAGATTTCATTTGACCATTGACCAACTGACACGGCTCACATGATGTTCCAAACTTTAACAGCTGAAGATGCCATTATGTATGTACGAATAGGTGTAAGGAGTATTTAAGATATTGTTAACAATAAATCAGATTTGAACATTGCTTATTCATTTCTCGCTTCCTCTCAATGTGAAGCCTCTTTCAAGCCGAGATAATCCCACCACCTTGAACCTCAGATCCTACCAAAACTCCATCCACTCCTTTAGGTCTCCTGGTGCAAACTAGAGATGTTCGATGATCATCAACAAAGAAATATATTAAAAGGTTCTTCTTTATCAACATTACTTTTTATTCAGTCAGTTGATAATTTGTACTGTTTCTTAATAAATTTCGTACCGTTTCAATGTATTTTATTTCTTTGTCAATTATTAATGCAAAAATATCCAATATCGATGTTCGGTTTTCGGTAAATATCTAACATCAATGTTGGGCTTTCGATTATAACATCGATGTCAATATCGATGTTTTCCTAACATCGATCATCCCTAGTGCAGACATCCCGTACTTATTTATATATTCACTATTTATGTACAATAATAATGCAACATAGTAATGAATGAATACCTGTATTTATTGCAGAATATCCTTAGTTGATTCCTGGATATAGTTTTGTCTAAACTCAGCGTAGTTAAAGACTCGCTCAAGGATTTCTCGAGTTCACTCAACGCGTCCTCTTTCATGTTAATACTTTCTTCTGCAGATAATACACTAAAAAAAACAAAAATAAAATTATTCATTGACTTATGAATAAAAATATATTAAGCTTTATTTATTTAATATTACTTTTTATTTCTTAAATTAATTAAATTGAATACAACTTCACTTAAAAAAATATATGCAGAATTGGACAGATGTTTAGCCATAACTTTGGCCTTAGTTAAGTGAGATGCGGCCTATAATTGAAGGAGCCTGTTTAACCCCCGATTAAATTAACCCATATTAAACTGTCTAAGGAAGCTGGAAGGGAATAAGGAGTTCTACTCCTTTGCTGTTTTTACAAGGAACGACGAACCAAATATGTTAGCTATTTCGACTTTGTGTTTGCGTGTTGTTTTCACGAGAATGTAAGTGCATGGTCCTATTTCACTTGCCTCCTGCTGATAGAAGACAAATATTTGTTTTTAATTCATTTTATTATTATTTATTACTTAAGATGTCATGTGGAACATTGTGTAATGGTTGCAGCTCCTTACAAACGCTGTTTAAAACAAAAAACTTGGCGGTTAAAGAGTGGCGGAGAGTTTATTGACAGTTCTTCTCTTCCGTTCTACGCCCTTGATTTGAGAACTGGCAGTAAATGTAAAATTAGAAGCATTTAATGTATATTCCTTTTTTGACGTTCATAAGTGTACGTTGTGTTACCTATATGAATAAATGATTTTTGACTTTTGAAATCGAGCAGAGCGGCATCTGGGCATGTCAACAACGAAGGGGTGAAACTCCAGCATGCTTCTAGATAAGATTTATTTGGAAGGGGATGACGGGGACGAGAAATCCGGCGGTATCTACCGCTGAACTCACGTCAAGGAGATTCTGCTGCAACTGAAGGCCTGATTTCAGGGGAAGTGGGACAGAACAGAACAGTATGCAGAACATTAAACAACGGAAAGTTGCGTACATGGGCCACGTATTGCGCCATGATCGATCAATAAATTATAATGGGTAAAATCCAGGGTTGACGGCGTGTTGGTAGAAGGAAGAAATCATGATAAACGTTAGGGAGTGGACGGGTATTGCGACTGCGTAAGAGTTGCTGCATCTGGCACAGGACAAGACACGCTTCAAGATACTGACGACCAACTTCCAGTAATGGAGGCACTAACAGAAGAAGAAGAGACAGAACAGGGAGTGTTGGAAGTTTTTCGTTTCGCAGGCCAATCGGAGTATGAACTTAAAAAAACTATCTTACCGTTGTATATCTCTCGCAATGGAGTTAATATTTGTTGAAAATATATTCCACTTAACGCTAAGTGATTGCAGACATTCATTTTCCGGCATTTTGTCCTCTAAATTGTGAGCGATGTCGGCCGAGGTCGCTAGCTTCGCACTAAAACATTGTCATATTTTAAAAAATAGTAGTAATGCACGATACCATAATAAACATTGCTTCGAATTAATGCAATTGAGTTGTCGAACTTGTAGTATTGTGACGGTCACTACTAATACTACTAATACTAATACCAGTTTTACATTCAAAGCAAAGTATCGCGCTTACACACTCGTCCTTCCCACTTCCCTGCCCAATTCCCTGCTCATCCCTGCTCACTACGGCTGAATATAAATGCGGCATAAAACTGATGATACCTCAATGACCTCATTCCACATGCCACTGCTTGCAAGCACATAAATAATCTTTTATTTATTCGCCTCGACATTAAGAGTATTATTGGCCACACCTACACTCAATCTGTTTTTCTCTCTCTTCCTCTCTTTCTATTTACGGTTAATGACTGTGAACATCACGAAAAATAGCCAAGGCGCAAATGTTTTTACCCTCAAATCGCAATCTGATGTTGAGTAATACTGACACTCTGACACTGATTACTTATGAGTATTTTTATTTCCGTTAATTTATTTATTTATTTTTTAACGTAATACATATTTTAAAATTCTTTTTCCGCCAGGTTAAAATAAACACGAATAATTCTTTAACAAGTTTGACAAGACAAAATAAATTTTCAACTCACCAATAACTAGAGCAAACTGTCCATAGACACTCTAAAGTGTCGACAACGGAGTCCGTGTTGTCTTCCGTCTCGCTCGCACAGTCGCGCGACAGTTGCTCCACGCAGGTTTTAGCCAATTCCATGTATTCAGGTATTATCTGACATCGCTTAGCGATATCTAGACACAATTCTTTGAACGTTGACACTTCAGATTGGGTAATTGTTTTTGCGTCTGAAAATATAATTATTTCTAGTAAAAGCGCTTTAGGAGACTGGATGCCTATTTCAATACGGGCCTATAAGTAATATTGTCTCGTCTCTACTGACATATTGTGTATCACTTACTCTTGTTCTGCAAAGTCGAAAGCGTGTTTTTCAGATCAGTAATAAGGGGTTCGATTCTCGGAAAGACTTCATTAAATACAGCAATCCAATGTTTGAGGAGACATTGTAGAACATCGTCTAATGTCCATGGAGGCGCTTTTATTATCACATATTGCCACAGATTGTCATATTTCGCTCGCATTTCGCTCTGAAAATATTAACTTATTACTAATGTGGGTAAGTGGTTTATTATTTATTAATGACCTTAAATAAAAATGTGATTTATTGGTAATGGAGCGTCGATGTTTGTATTTAAATATATAATTGCGCTTAGTATTTTTTCTGATTATGAATACAATAAATAAATGCATTATGAAATCAGTTAGCCTGAACCCTCTCTATCTATCATAGCGTCAACGTGATTTGTTAGAAAGAGACAGACTTAAAAATTTGATTTAGTTTCTGTGTAAAGTATATTAGTAGTGTAGTGTAGTGGCTAGATACATTATGTATCTAGCCGTAACCTAGTCATGTATCATACATAGGTAGAGGCTTATAATAATTTACTAAAAAATTGTGTACAAAATGACACGTAAATAAACTATTTCTCTTAAACGATATCACAATTCCGTTAGACTTGAAGAAAATTTTTAGTTATACAAAAAACCCAAGATGCACAATCTCGAATAAAAGCAACACTCGAAAGTGTCCCGAAACACTATTTCTGTCTCTTTCTATAAGTTACAAGCATATATTATTGCAAAATCAACCTTACGCGAATTGTTTAAAGTTGTTATTACAAACGCAGTGTACTTAAAGCAATAAAATTTTACGACCGACCGTGGTCGGTAGGACAAGGTATTGAGTGGAGTCGAACATGACTTTTTTTTTTCATTATACATTACTATTTAGTATTTTAAGAGTTTGTTAAATTGTGTTTTAAACACATAAATATACTTTTATTTGTGCATAAATATGTTTTTGGGTAGCCTATGGGTATATATGTATATCAAAAAAACAAATTATAACTGTTAAAATTGTTTATTCAAATATTTGGTTCAAAACGATAATGATGAATGGTATTTATTTTGCAAAAATCAAATCACTTTTAAAGTACATAAATTTATTTATTAAAAAAAACACAAATAAAAAAAATCTACTCCACTTATTAGAACAGGGTCATTTTTATAATGCGACTAAAATAAAAAGAAGACTGTAATGCGTTGTTCTAACACTGAACAAGCAGCCATTGAAGTTGGCCGTATAGAAGTTTGTGCGTTGAATGAAGTTTTTAGAAAAAATAAATAAAAATCACACATTGCTTGTTATAATCAGTCATAAAAACAACAAAAACTAATCAATAAAGTTTTTTACTTACCGAAAATACGATATCTCATCCTTTTTTAGCCTTTTTGACGTAATATTTTTACAATTTCTCACAGAACACTTTGGCATTTTTAACAACTGCTCCCAGACGCGAGCGACGCGAGACTATTTGAAATAAGCGCACAATTTAGAATGTTGCGCTCATTTTTTGCGGACGTTTTTTAGACGTTGAGTGTGCATCTTGGGTTTTTTGTATATCAATGTGTAATAATAATAAAAATAATAATTGTATTGTGAAAAAAGCATACAAGATAGCTAATACAACACTAGCTCCTAGTGTTCGTTGTTTACGAAGCGAGAACGCGCGCTCTCTTAACAACAGTGATGTATCAGAACTTGTGTGTGTGTGTTATAAGAACGATGAAATAGACCTTTTTGTGTGTCCAAACCAGTGCAATTGCACAGTTTTAACAATGCTCCTCTCTCATTTCATCACAGTGTAAACACAATTTGACAGAAAGAGATGGAAGATTTTTACAGACTTATATGCACTAAGTGCTCATACCTCTAATATATTAGCCAGTAGCGGGTACACAATCTCACTGGCATGAACAAAACTCGCATACAACTCATCTGAGGCCGGCTGAGGTTTGTTCTCCAACATATCCTTAAGCGAATCAATTTCTATATATTCAACTGAATTTATATCCGCCTTATTGCATAGGTTTTTATCGTTTGATATGAGAAGCTGAAATATTAAGGTAAAATCTGAAATATTTTAACCAGAAATAAAACTTAAACTTGACAGGTTCCATACCATTTTATAAAAGTTTTATAATGTGTATTGTGTGCGGGTAGACAACCCTCATGAATGAGGTCACTGCTATACTAGATTTCTTTTTTTTTATGACACGTTCATTACAGTATAGGGAGCGTTCAAGTATTACGTAACGAATTTGGGGGGGGGTACTTTTGTAAAACGTTACGATGCGGGGTGGGGATTGAATTACGCGTTATTGTTAATATTATTTTCGACTTTCCACTACTTTACACCACATAATGGTAACTTTTAGGTATAAAGAGTCACTGGGTGGTCACGAAACGTTTTACTATACTTGGGTACAGAAAAACGTTACGGCGCGTTTTATGGGGGGGGATCAATAATCTACAAAAATTGCGTGACGTAATACTTGAACGCTCCCATATAGAAAAATACATATAATTTTTTTGAATAAATGAACATAATATCAAATGTCATGGTAGGTCTTTTTTGCACAGACTTTAGTACTAGTGTTAACCAAAGACAATTTAGTATACAATAGAGAAAATCAATAGACTAATGAAATTAATTTAGAAATAATTTCAATACTAATAAAACAAAAGCCTATGTTAATTTAGTTGTTAGTTTATAATAAAACTCACCACATTCTTATTACGTTCCACTTGCTGTAAGGCACAGTTTAATATTTCGTCATCGGGCATTTCACATGGATAAATATGGCAATTCGCATCTCTAAGTGATTGACCTGTAACATAGGTTTACATACATATGTTACAGTACATACATATGCTACACATATGTACATAATAAAAAAAAAATGTAAATCATTCATTATTAATGGTTTAAATCGCTGACAGCGGAAAATTTATTAGAGGCTCTTGAAATCAAAATATTTAAATGCTAGTAAATACATTATTAAAAGTAATTTATGTTTTTAAATAAGTTATGTAATTTGCTTCTAAACTATTATACATTTTTTTTTATTTAAACTTTGCACTAATATTAACTGCTGCTAATCTAAATGTAATTAGATGTATGTGATTTTATTTTACCTTTGATCCTAGTATTAACTGGCAGGGACTTATACAAGTAATCCATGGCTGCTCTCGCTCGTTTGGACAAAGAACTGTTACCATTATTATTATCCTTTAGACGATCTAACTCATTTATCACCCGCCAAGGAACCAATAGATTTGGCTGTTCACTGTAACCTGGAATTTTGTTATTTATTATAAATACATAAATTTATATTATTGATACTCTTAAGTTAATTGTTTATTAAACTTTGTTAATATAAATTTCATAATTGTAATATTTTATATTTACTTAAATTTCATGAAGTTCATTATCTTTATTAAAAAAATGTTTTTGTTTTTTTTACATTAAGAAATAGAAACATTAAATTATATTATTATACTCCATTTAAATTCAAGATGCATTGTAATAGCTATATAGTTATATACATATTAATATAATACAGACCTCTCAAGTGTGAATTTAGTACATTTTTAATTATATCCAAATGATGTATAAATATATTTGTGTCAACAACAAGTACAATATCTTTATCATTTTTGTCTCTCTGTGGATTTATCTGTGTCTCTTTGGGCTGAAATTAAAAACGTTATTAGTCAAAAATATAAAGAAATCTTTCAAAAATGGTTTACCAGTTATTAGTCATTGATTATCACATATTAATAATTTTGTTAAGAATTTCTACATTGAGACACAAATAAAGTTGTTTACAAAGAAAAATTTTAAAACTTTTGCATATATTGTCTGCTTAATATTTCCCTTCAATTCACTAGTATTATTTAATAACTAAAAGTAGGCAGGTTCAAGAGTAATATTAACTAACTAGGAAAGAACTTTTAGAAAATAAAATAAACATATACTTTTACAGTAAACAACCATTTGGGGAATTTTAATTTTATGCTGATATAGCAGGTAAAGTAAAAAGTTCTATTGTTAAAATACCTACCTCCCGAAAATCCTCAACTTCCATTGCTTCAGAATTTGAACTTTCTAACACTCTGCTATTTAATGAGGTACTTGTTTCTATTTCCTTCGAAACACAGTTTGTATCTTTTGGAGTATTTATTTTGTAACCTAATTTTAATTTGATAGCAGATACTAATTTACTTGCTTCTGAAAACTGTGGTGGTGTAGCCGGGTGCTTAGAAAATGGATATTCTGGTGTTTGATTACAAATGCCCTTCTCAATATCAGCAAATGTATCTTTCTGCTTGTCATTATTACAAAATTTCTCAGGTAACTGTGCTTTCATAGAAGATATTATTTTATTTGCTGTGAAAAACTGGGATGTTGAAGGAATAGAGTGTATGTTGTCATGGGTTGGCGATTGGTTTGCCTTATCATTAGGGCTTTTGTCTGTGGCTTTTGAAGGATCATTTGAGCTTCTTCTTTTCAGAGAGTGAGCACTTTCTTCTTCCTGAACTTCTTTATGTAGCTTTGCATTCAGATTTTCAAGTCTTGTGCTTGCTATATTTTTAGCCAATCTTTTCTTACCTTTTTTGTTTTGATATGATGTTGAGGGCTGATGTTTGTTGTGTGTTGATTTTAAGGGAGTCTTAGGAGTATGTGTACTTTGGTCATTTTCACGTCTATGAGTCTCTTTCTTTTGCACAGAATAATATTTTTTACGGTCTGATTGTTCTAAAATCAATGTATTAATTATTCATTAATACACCAAATCCTATTTTTTTCCTATGCAACTAAATTAAGAAAGATATTTAATGTTTTACCTACTTGAACTCCCTGACTTAGGAATTCAGCTGAATATTTATGATTTTTTTTAATTCGACAACAAAATAATCGTAAATGTATAAATAAAATAAAGCAAAGAAATATTTTTTACCTGGCCTTTGCTTTTTATTAGCTGAAGACCCTTCAATGCCATCACTTTTTCTTTTGTTCCCTCTTCGTACAACTTCGTCAGATCGATTTATTTCCAATTTTTGATGATCTCTTTTTCCCACTTTTTTATCTTTATGATCTGTTGGCTATTAACTCGTAGACATTAATTTTTAGAAAATCCTGCAGTGAAACCCAAAAAAAAGTATTAGGAACACATACCTGTGGTTGCGTCCATAGGGATTTTCCCGTTTTTTTGTTGAAATAGTACTTTCTTCCTGGATTAGACTTGGAAGTACATAAAACCCAACCATCTGGCAGCTTTTCCTCGTCAGGTTTTTTAGAACTCATGGCGAGAAAATAGAAAACTATTTCAATTTCCTATAATTTATTTGGGTTTCTTGTTTGTTAAAATTGACAATTTAATTTCGTTGTAATAATTGTTTTGAGTTTTGACTTTGATAATTATCGTTATTATCAGTCACAATTTGTTAATTGTCAAATGGCTGTGTGTCAGTATGGCATGGCAAATAGGGAAATAAAAATTTGTTGTGGGCAATACTAGAGAAATTGGATTAAATGAACTTGATACTATTTCATTTTTATTTATCTTTAGTATTAATGAACCTGAAGTATATTATTAGTTATTTGTATGAAGAATGTTGTTAGACATCGGGTTCTTAAGATACGAAAATATGTCATGAAAAATAAATCAGTCGTAAATTACTTTATGTACTAATTTATTACATATCATTTCAATCATACAAATAACTTAAAACCTCATTCAGAACTAGAAAACGATTCCAAGAACTCCACTTGCATTTCTCGTTCTTCATCAAATGATGAAGATAAAGAGGTGTTTATTTTAAATCGCTCTTCCAGCATTTCAATTATTATATCTTGCTTGATGAAATCGTTTTCAATTTTCTTTACATGTTCACAACCTTTTCACCAATCCTCTGCACTAATTTGTGAGAAAGCTTCTTATTAATAATAGGCTTCATCTTAATATTTGTATGTCACTTGCAGGTCTATTTACTAACCTCAGAGATAATATATTTTGTCTAACCTCAGAGATTCTCTTTCTTCACTGACATCAATATCTTGTAGAAGAAAAATTGTAACAGTTTCATTACTGTTGGAATTTCTTTATTCCCAGTCAACTGTAAATTGAAACTATTCAACTTGATTTTCTTCTTCACTTTTTACCAGGCGCGGAAAATACACCATCATTCGATGTGCGCCGATACGATTCGCCGTATAGTAGTACCTACTGGAAACTCCTATAAAGAAGTCACAATAAGGTACCGAAGAAAAATATAAAATTAACCAAAATTACCAAAACCACTCTGTCCAACTTACCGGTCAAATCTACCACGCGCTTTAAAATTAAAGATTGAGTTTGATTTAATCCTTCTTCTTCCTTTATTTTACAATAAACGTTGAAAACAATATCTCTCGCTTGAGATCAAAGTGGTTTTCGACATTTTCAAATTTAAACACAACAAATATCAAGAAGATAAAATTTCAGCAGCGGTTGACTGATCTCGTACTTTGAGATGACACTTCGTCGCTTAGCTAACAATACCGCACAAGTCATATTTTAGCCAAATGACGTTTTTTAAACCATTCGATAGATTACTTTCCCGCGCGTCTAATGAGCTCTCGCTAGAGGTAATATCGTCCAATAAGAGCGCGTTATTCAAAAACTAGTAACACAACACAACTCATTGGCTGCGCTAACACCGCGCAAGTCATCATAACGCCATAGTAATTTGGCCGTGCCACGTCGCACCTTATAAGATCGTTTGTCGTTTTTAAAAAAGCGGATTTTTTGTAACGGACTGGCTCCACTGATGTAGTTTAAAGGTAAGGTAACTTAAATAAAACATAGTATTCATATTTTATCTATTAAAATACGTCATACGATTGCTTTTAAAAACATGAATACTTAAGCGGTGTTGGAATGAACAGTTTCGTTGAGTTAGGCGGTTTTCTCTTTACTTGGTTTCGATGTCTGAATGACTTACAATGTACTTCTGTGTTGAGTTTCTGACTGCTGCGGTATTCATCGATATAATTAGCGATTTTTACGCAGTTTTTTTAATGATTACTATATCGTAATTATATTATATTTTACTTCAGAACACGAAAATGGACAAAATGGTCGATAATGATACCACGCCTGATGACTTTTCAAGAGTTGACGCTAAATGTAAAGTTATTACTTTACGTGACTTACAAAAGAGACATAGAGAAAAAATGTTATTAAATACATTGGGTATTAAAGAATGGTTTGTCCGATACTGGTTGATAACGACAGATTGTGCTATGCCACCGCCTTCTGAGATTTCTCGGAATGTAGATTGCTCCAAAAAGAACTCTGATGGTCACGAGCGTCTACAGCAATTATAGATAGCCTGCCGAAGATGCCATCGTCTACTGTCGAGCAAACTCATCCAGACGATACCTAGAACCAGTATTTCATACCATGGCACAATTAAACAAAGAATACGTCAGTAAATGCGAATTAGATTCCTTAAAATGTCTTAGTCGTAGGGTTTTTGACAATGTATTCTTAAAACAGAATCTTAGTCTGTTTCATCCCAAAAAAGATCAATGCGATGTATGCTGTGGTCATAAAGTTGGAAATATAAACAATACTGAAATTGCAATACATCGCGATAGGAAAGACAAAGCTAGAAAAGAAAAAGACACTGACAAAAAATTGGCAATAGAAGGAAAAACGTGTCATGTATTTACGCAAGATGTTCAATCAGTAAAATTTGCTCCCTACCTTCAGGCTAGTGCCATATACTACAAGACATTTTATCTGTTCACAATTTTACCATGTACAATTTGTCAACACATGAAGCTTGCTGCTACTGGTTCGATGAATCAAATGGCTCCCTTGAAGCTTCTGTTTTCGCATCGTGCATTGTGGATCAACTACAGATAATTTTAAATAGAAAATTACTACCGGTAATATTGTATTCTGATGGCTGCTGTGCACAAAATCGAAATTCCATCTTAAGTAATGCTCTTCTGCGTTTATCCATCGATAAAAAAGTTAAAATAACTCAAAACATCTTAGAAAAAGGTCACACGCAGATGGAATGCGACTCTGTGCACAGTGCCATCGAATGTAGATTAAAGGGAAAAGAAATTTACCTTCCTTCCCAGTATGCGAATATAACAAAGACAGCTAGAGATAACTCAATGCCATATGAGTCTCGATTATTAGAATTCACTTTTTTTACCAATTTCAGTAAGGATTTAATTTACAAAACCATTCGTCCGGGCAGAAAATTCGGAGATCCCACTATTACCGATTTAAGGGTATTAAAATATAAACCAGATGGAACTATTTGGTATAACTTTGACGAACCTTTGCAGCCGTTGCCTCAGCGTCCAATGAAAATTACCAATGTAAAACCTTTAGAAGAGCTGCCGAAATTATTTTCTGAAAGACTGCCAATTTCCCAAAGAAAATATAAGGATCTCCAAGATTTAAAGGCAGTGATACCTTCGAACTGCCACGCATATTATCATGAGTTACCTTATAAAAATTAAATATTTTTCATCCATAAACATTTTGTATTATTTTTAGAAGTAGGTTAAGTATTCGAAGTGTTCTTATTGTCTTATATTGTTTGTGTTAAATGTACCATTTTATTAAAGTTTTTGAGAGTTTAGAATTATTAGAAGTTATGGAAAAAATTACCTAAATTACAAAGCAAACCACCTCTGGTTTCCATTGTAACTTAGATAATTTTATTGATCTCAGTAGGTAAGTAGTTGATCTCGTCAAACAGTACAGTCGTAAAAGTCAGTGAGTTCCTATAATATATTATAATATTAGCGAACCCGGCAAGGGTTGTCCTGTTGGAATAAGAAAATAAAACGGCAAAGAAATGTGTTTTTTTTTTTTTTTTGATAAAAAGCTAATTTAGCAATCTTTTTTTATTTTATTGAAGTTAATAATTAGTTTTATAAAACTGTTTTTGAAAAATGTTTTTATTTCGATAGTTTTTCATAGAAAATTTTCTATGAAAGACTTATAGAGCTTAAATATAAAAGGTAAAAACACCGCGTAAGTCTTTATTTTGTTAGAGTAAAACTGCTCAAGTCTTGAAAATGACCTAATAAGACGATATTTCTTTTATTTGTTTTTATAGTTATCATGCTTAACTAAATACAATATATTAAAATTTTTATCATGCATGTATTGTACAAAATGTTAAAGTAATACAGTTTTTTGTCTCTCCTGAAAACTAAGCAAATCTGACTTATGCGGTATTGTTAGCTAAGCGACGACTTGACATTGTCATATGAAAATCTCTATTTTTGTTTTATGCCATGAGATTCTGATTTCTGGTAGACCTATACTGAATACTGAGTACTGACCATAGAGAAATAATATATACTCGGGATACTGACTAAATGTCTGAAATCTGAATAGCCGGAACTATTCAGCTGTTGAATATTCTTAAGACAGATTTTCGTGTGGATTTTCATCATTTGGTTTTCTTCAATAGCATCCTCGACATTATAAATATTAAATTGTATTAATGTACAATGGTAATATTAAACAATAAATAAACTTAAATAACCAGTTAAACCTCTTACAATGGAAAAAGCTTTGAAGATCGTTAAGACACTAAGAAATAATTGGAAAAAGTCTGTTTTTGGTGCAATTTTAGTGTATTATGGTGCTGCAACTGCAAAAGAAAAATACGAGTAAGTATTTAACTAAAAAATTAACGCAACTGTTCCACGTAGTTACATATACGCTGTACCGTGATTTTCGTTAGAAGTATACAATATTAATATCGACTAATTAACTTACAGGATTAATATATTAATGCGAGCAGCATGCAAGGAAGCAGTGAAGTATGGTGATGCCATGATTGAATATGATAGAAACCCAACACTAATAACAGTTGTTCTTAACCCAGTTGCTAATAAGAGAAAAGCTAAAAAAGACTTTGAAAAGTATTGTGAGCCAATACTTCATCTTGCTGGTTTACAAGTGGATGTGAAAGTAACAACTTCTGAGGGCCATGCTAAGGAAATTGTGGAGAACTTAAAGGGTACTGAGGCTATTATTGTAGCAGGGGGAGATGGCACACTTTCAGAAACTGTAACAGGTAAAATTTATTTAAGCCGTTAATAAATAAATAGATCTATAAACTAAGGAAAGCTAGGGACTTTAAAGTAAGAAGTGTAATTTTAGTTTTATGATATCGGGTTTCAAATGATGATGCATGTAGTAGTACTTTAAATATAATCTGTTATTATTGAACTGCCAAAAAGTAAACCTATTCTTTATCCTCTTTTGCACATCTAAAATAACTTAAAAGTAATAAACACCTAACTCTGACATTTGTAATATTTTTAGGACTGCTACGCCGAAATGATGATGCTAACCGCTTTCCTCTTGGTATTTTACCTTTGGGATCAACTAATAGCCTTGGCAATACATTGTTTCCTGGAGGCAAAGGTGTTGAAAGAGTCAAGCAACTTATTGAAGCTTGTATGGCAATAGTTCAAGGACAGACAGTTTTAAAGGATGCTATGAAAATTGAGCCTTTAGCAAATGAGGAAGAAACTCCAAGTAGGCCAATTTATGCCATGACGTCAATAGACTGGGGAGCATTTAGGGATATCCAAGCAAAGAGAGATAAATATTGGTTGTATGGTCCGTTACGTGAATATGCATCTTACATTTTCAATGGTTACAAGGATTCTATTACATGGATTTGCAATGGAGTTATAACATACACTCCTCCATGTGCCGGGTGTAGTAATTGTATAACAAAAAAACCTGAATTAAAAAGAAAGTGGTCTTTCTTTATGCCAAGCACTCAAGCCACTACCGATACTGATAAATTAAAAATTTTAAACCCAGAATGTGCATCAACACAGGAACTGTGCTTTAAGACAAGTGAAATAAAAATAAGTCCCAACCTTAGTGGGGGTATACCAGCTCTACGTGTAGAATTGGGAAGAAATAAATATTCATATACAGAGTTTGTTTCTGAAGGATGGCGGAGGATTAAAGGTGATAGTAATATTGAAGAAGTTGTACAAGCACGAACAATTCTTTTGCAACCACAAAGTACAAAACCAGATGAGGTGTTTGAGATAGACAAAGAAGAATTTGATGTTAAGCCTATGAAAGTGACTATATTACCAAATATGATTAAACTGTTTTGTAAAAGTGAAAGATTTGATAAATAAAATTGTTTGTTGTTAATTTTTTTTAATTTAAATCCTGCTTACTACTTAAAAACTATTGTAAAACAAAATGTCATAAATGTTGCTAAGCAGAATTTATGTGAAAAATCTATAAACAAAATTAGATTTTGAGAGTAGGTTATATAGACATTTAAAAAAAATGTACTCTAAATTATCTCTTATTGGCTTAAGTAGGTTTTGCACCCATAATTCCTACTAATGCAATGCAAACCTACTAATGACTATATTAAACCAAATACATATGTTATGAAGTAGTAAAAAAATATTAGGCTGTTTTTATCCTGGCACTATGTAGACAAACTTACGGTTGAAATAAAAAACCTCAAATATAGTATTTTTTTATTAAAACCAGAACATTAATAATAAATAACAAAACGTTAAAATTAGATATAATATATATTTTAAGAAACAATATTCTTGCAATAATAACAACCGTAATTAGAACATAATCCAGCTTTTATATAAAACATTACATATGCTGTCTTGTATATTCCCAAATAAATATAGCAGCGGTGACATGCACATTGAGTGACCGTAGAACGCCGCGCTGAGGTACTTCTACACATATATCCATATGAGGTAATAAGTCACATGGTATACCTGACTTTTCGTTACTGAAAGTAAATATATGATTAATTAAATAAGACACTTGTGGGTCCTTCTTGTCCTGGAATTTAAGATTATTTTTTAACAATTTAGTTATATTTTTTAATGTAAAAAAAACGTGTGGCACTCGGGGACTGCAGCGGTAAAGCAATTACATATCATTTTTTATCAACTTAAATAATTATTTATTTATGCAGTATTATTTTTTCTTTGTAGTTTAATTTGTAGGTTATATATGTAATATATTTCCGAAAACTGTAGTCGTTAAAGGAATGAATCCAATTTAAAATCGTACTTTATAGAATTAATTAAAATTGAAATTAATTTTAAAGGTTTCTTCATTAAAGTTTACCATATCCTATTCTGCTCAATCGTGACTTTTATAATTCTTGTATTTCTTATTCGTTAGTATTGTTAGCTTTTTAGTTTCTTATTATTATTTTTTTGTATTATATTAGATTCAGGTTCTATATTTCTTTTATAAGATTTGGTTATGTACTTCTTGCATTTCACCCATCGTATGTATTTTTTTAGTTTATTCCCTTACTAGGCTTGCTATGATAGCTTCTTAACTATAAGGTTGCCCGTTGCATCTCTTATGTATTACTAGCCGACCCGGCAAACTTCGTTCCGCCTAACAGTCTAATAATTTAGGATTTCATTAAGGTGATAACATTAATATTTATATTTGCAAATACAGAAATGTTTTATTGCTTGCCATTGCGAAAGAAGAATGGCAGTTTTACAGATTAGGCTTCTTTCTCTAGCGCTTATATTGCGATACTGAATCTGCACTTTCTGATATACAAAATTTTTTGATGAGGTAACTCATGTCTTCGATCAAGATCAAAGTCTGGTTATGCATCTCCTCATTCACTTCAAGATCGGAATTACATTCAGACACGAATTCGATGTAAAATGATGCGTTAATTTTGTCAACAGAAGGCACCACATGCTGTTTGCATTCGTAAAATTTAACGTTATTGTTATTCGATAACTTTCCGATATTTTATTACTTATTCTGCGATTCGGAGCGGAGAAGAATCCATAAAAAAGAGATAACTAACATCGGTCCAGTCGATCTTGTGTTATAAGTATACACTAACACTTTGTATTATATATTTAGATGATATGTATTTGTTTTTGTATAAATGTAACGAAGTGTGAATAAATACAAAATAATTGCATCGGTTTGAAATAACATATCAAGAAATTTCACATTAACTTAATATTGGTACGAATATATTATCAGGCTATTAATATCTCCTCTTTTAGGCTTTGTTACTAAATATATTAGTTTCGATTTCAGCTTCAAAATAGCGGAACTGAAACCACAGTAGGCAGAACATCAAGTAAAAAAAACCGACTAAAGATAAATATTTTACAAAATACATACCCCAATAAAAGTAAAGTTTTCTTGGGAAACTTGAATCCCTGCAGGCTTGTGCTATTGGATGTTTGTTCTGCGGCGACTATTGCGTATCCTTCGGACTTTTTCAACGCCAGATAATCTTTTAGAGGCTGCCCAGGTCTCACTTCTATCACGTTGACCCATCTCTCAGCTGATACGCTGTAAATTAATGTCGATTTCTAGAAGCATCCATGACTTACGATTTATTAATTTGACGACTCATTGGTCTGGTGGTTGTATGCTGCGATCCATGGTCCGTTTGGTGAGACACCATGATTAGGTTGTGTGTGGGTTGGTTTTAAATATTTTTTATATTACTACTAAATATAGTTACACAAAGTTAAAGGATAGGTCATTGGTGTGAATTGTCTTTAAAAAAAAAAAAATTCACTTCAGTCACTTCACTTGCAGTAAGTACCTTTAGTTATAAGTACGTCAAATAGAGACAAAGATCTTCTAGTGTGGAGGCTAGTGCTGTTTGTTATTTTATTCTACATATTTTTATTATGGGTAATTAAGTTTTCTTTTATAGAACAGGGGGAAAACAGACAGGACGCAAACCTGATGTTAAGTGATACCGCCCATGACACTCAATGCCAGATGGCTCGCGAGTGCGGTGTCGACCTTTAAACAATTGGTAGCCTCTTTTTATTAAACTCTGTTATATAGTCGTGAAAAAGGCCGGCAATGCACCTTGCCCATGGGCTATAGGAAACAGTACCCATGGGCTGCGACGACTGCCCTTTTTGGGCTTCCCGTAGCCACGTTTGCCCCTATTCTATAAAAAAATCTAACATTTAAGTATGCTAAGGCTTGGAAATAATTAAATTGAGCGAGCAATCATCATTTTTAATTGATATACAGACTAGCAGACTTTTCTTAATGTTTTATAATCTCCGTTGTAAAGTTAAAGACTTTTAAAACCTTTTTAGGTCTGGGCCTAAAGTTTCTGAGTTTCATGATCATTTGTCAATCTAATAGGCAAGTAGGTGATTAGCCGCCTGTGCTTAACACAGGCCAACTTTTTGGGTCTAAGGCAAGCCGGTTTCCTCACGATATTTTTCTTCATCTTTCGAGCGAATGTTAAATGCGCACACAGAGTGCATTGGTACACAGCTGAGGATCGAACCCACGACCTCGGGGATGAATCATGAAAGTCGCACGCGGAAGCCACTAGGCCAATACTGCACAAAATATTAACAAACATTTTAATACCTGAGTCCCTGAAACTGTTTGTCCTGTAAATGTCTCAGGCTGTCAATGACGTACGTGTTCACGGCGAAGATTTCGCTCGTTCGCGCCATACCGCCCAAATTTGGCAACTTATCAATCAATGATGCCACTACTATCAACTCAGTTTTGTTTATCTGCAATATATATTTATCGTTAAATTCTTACCATTATATAATATTTAAAAGTCGTTATTGAAGTTCTACTGCTTTTGGCGCGTTAGGGGAAAATTGAGAGTAAATTTTAACGATGCGCGCACACGCCGTCACAAAAAACCGACACCCTGAAGTCAACATTTTAAAATAAAAAAATTTCCATTTAATTATGTAGAAATATTTTTTTTATATTTAAATAAAGTTTATTTAACTAGATAATGTGTTATAAAACTTTCAATGTATTAAATACGTTTTTTTCTATTGTTAGTGTCGTTTATTTCTCCAAACGTAGAATAAGGTGAAAGATAAATTTAAAAAAAATATCTCCATCTTGTTAGACCAAAGAAGTATAACTTCTAAAGCGTGTACATAAGTATACACACATGTTTTTTTTCTGCTCAAAACTACCTAGAACGTTATATTATTTCGTTACTGCATCTGTATACGTTTTTGACATACAGAAGCCATACTCAGCGCTCGATTTTGAATCGTACCCAAACAACAATGTAAAACACACTCTCGCACCCAGCGGTCATAAACCTCTGTTTAAAATTCGTCAATACAGAAATATTTTATAAACGCGCAAACGTCAACTGTTATTTTACTACAATTTCCATGAAATCTTGAATAGTATTACTGCTAGACTAGTTTAACCACCGACGTCCGGTTTCTATATCCGATTAACCAGCCGTATATACAAGTCGTAGTTTAGTTTCAATTGATTTAGCCGTTCCGTTTTCAGATGCAGTTGTCTTTCCCTAACAATTATATAGCTTGGCTTATAAGAACCGTGTTTTGTACAATAAACGGTATTTAAATAAGCTATCATCTAAAATGCGCAAAGGCGATGAGAAAATGAGAACTTGGAGAAACTGATCGTGGTTGGTAACACAGAAGGCAAAAGATCACGTGGCCGTTCACCAACCAGATGTACCGATCAAGTGAAAGACTCGTCGTCCTCAAAACTATACACTGTCATAAGACACGCGCTGCAACGAAACTGGAGGAAACAGATGGTCCGCTCCACACGTTTTCTTGCTGACCACGACGCTCAGACATGAGATGCCGAATAAAAAGAGAGATCATCTAAAGTCTAAATAATCTGATAATAGGCCGTACCTAAAAATAAATAGGGATATTGTCGTCGGTCAGACCGTAAGGACTGACTTCGCCAGACGCAATATGCAAGCAGACTTTATCTATTAACGGATTGGCGAAGAGACTTAGTTCTGCAGCCTATGCGGTTAAAAAAATTCGCTCACTAACTGATGTCGATACAGCTAGACTTGTTTATTTTAGTTACTTTCATAGCTTAATGACTTATGGCTTATTATTATGGGGTCATGCTGCTGATGTCGAAACTATTTTCATCCTGCAGAAGAGGGCTATTCGTGCAATCTATAATTTAAAATGTAGGGAATCTCTTAGAGATAAATTCAAGGAAATTAATATACTTACCTTTCCCTCGCAATATATTTATGAAAATATTATGTATGTATACAAAAATAGTGATAAGTTTACTAGAATAGAACATACGCACAATGTTAATACACGGAACAAACGCAGGCTGCAATTTCCCCGTACTAGACTATCTAAAGTTAGTAATTCTTTTTTTGGGGAAAGGGATACTCTTCTTTAATAAAATCCCAGAGGCTCTTTTATCACTGCCTTTCAATAAATTTAAGAAATGTATTAAAGAAAAGCTGTGTAAAAAGGCTTACTATAAAGTCAACGATTATCTAGTTGATAAAAGGGCCTGGGACTAGTGCTAGACAGGCTACTTCTAATTAATTTGCGATATTTGTTTTAAATAAGTGTTGTTTGATGATTTGCTGTTTTAAAAGAGTACCGAGAGTTTTTTACGCCGGCTTTTTCTCTCGGCCTACACCCTCTGTCTTCTTTGCCGATGAGTAGGGATGCCTTCAAATTTAATGACGTGGAATAAGTGATACATGTATCTTATGTTCCATAATAAACATATTTTTTATTTTATATATATAAAAATGAAACCCGTTTTCCGTTGTCACGACATAACATGAAAACGGCTTGACCGATTTGTCTGATTATTTTTTTATAATATTCCTTGAAGTACGAGGATGGTTCTTACGGAGAGAAAAGTTAAAAAAATTGAGTGGAAAAGTCTAAAAACAACACTTTTCTATATTCCCATACAAAATATTCGTAATAATATTTAAAGGCAATTTGAACTTTAATACAATATCATAAAGTTCAAGTGTTAGTGGAGGGGTTGAGGGAAGGTAAATTTTTATTTTTTTACATAATGTATTTGTTGTCCTATCAATTTTCTTTTTTTTTTTATCTTACTAGCTAGACCGGTGTCCCGAATAGCAGAATAATTATTTTAAACAAATAAAGCATCGACTATTAGGCGGTACGATGTTCGCCAGGCCAGCTAGTATATAATAAATTAAATAGGCCGCTTAACATCTACCAGCTCACCGTCTACAATTTAAAGATACGACTAAAGGACTGGCTTCTGAGCATACCTTGCGCAGTGTTAGAGATCCTTTTGAGACCTAGTATGTAGTTACATACTTTTTTCATTCACTCACTGACTCACTCACTCTCTTACACATTTGCACCCACACACTCACTCAGGCGTGTTGATAACAGTTGAAAAGTAAATAAAATAAAAGATGTAATTAGATTATAAATACAAATATTTTAAGGAATTTATACATAAGTTTGTTATGGAAGAGCTGGGAACCCTGACACAGGTATTTCTTACTTAAAAGGTTTCCCAAATCTTACACATTGTAATGCATAGGTACTCAAAATGAATAAAGGCATTTTTATTATTTTATTAATCACTTACCGGAGTATCCACATCAACACCAACATCACACATATTTTTCCACGGTATATATTTCTTTTGGATTAGACTCGTTGCATTCATTTCTACGTCCTTCACCTCCGTCGTGATTGTATTGAACTTTTTTAGTTCACTCACACCCAAAACCGGCGCTGCGTAATTTTCATCAATCTTTTCGTTCACTCTTTCATTATGAGCGCTATAGTAGATTGCACAGGGTGTCAAATCTTTAATTATATCGAATTCGTGGACAAAGTAATCGTGCGTTAGTCTTTCCAGGCTCTTTTCTTTTAACTTCGCCGCTTCAGTCAACGTCTTGTTTACTACAATTATGGCTTGTTCGTAGCCTGCGATTTTGAATGATTTAAGATCTATTTTCGATAAAAGGTATTGGGCGTGCAAACGTATGCTGTATGTTGGTCCCATAGTATTTTCTAATAGATAATCTAGTACTAATTTAAGTTCCTCGTTGCTGTTTGATGTCTTTATATACCAGTACAGAATCATAAATTGTGATGTTATGGGTACTGAATTTGTTTGTAAAAGTTGTATAGTGTTCGCTACGTTGATTTCCTAAAAAATAATGCGAGCATACATATTTGTTACATTTTAAAATTGTTAAATATATCATCATTTTATCACATATATACTTGAAAACATAATCATCCAGAACCAGCGCGTAAGTCTTCAAACTAAAATTATTATACTTTCTGCGGAATCGACTTTAAAATCATGTTAAGAGTTAGTAATGTGTCTTAGTACAAGGACGGTTCTGAAAATCGCCTGTTTTAATATTATCATTCGTGAATTTCGTAAACAGTTGAAAAAAGAGTATCGGGAATTCACTATTAAGTTTGTTATGGGAGATGGGAACTTAAAAGGATTCCCAAATCTGTGTAAGATTAAGTAAGATTGTAATGCATTGTTTATAATGATTGAGACATTTCTCTTATTTTTTATACTTATATTAATAATAAATACCTTATAAAAAATACCAAGAGCTATACACCACTCTAAGTACAAACGTGTTGAAGCTTGATGAGGTATTCGGCCCAAGAACTCAACACACCATTGAAAAATATCTATATCCTTATTATTCCTAAGAATAAATAGTAAATGTTGTAAACCCGCGTGCAATATTCTATGTAAAGTTGAATTTCTATGATATCTCTGTTTATGTTTAAAAAGTTCGTCAATTTTTTTCATAATAATACGCGAAATTATGTTTAAAGTTTCCTTATTTTGTATTTTTCCCAGCACCTCAAGGGTTTTGTATTCAATATGAAATGTTGTGAACACGCCATCTCTGAAAACGAAAATATGTATGTATAATGCGCTTGTTGTTCCAACAATCGATTTAGAAATCTATATATATCCTTATACATACATATATAAATCTAGTCTCAATGGATGAGCCAAGAAATAAAAAATCAGGGTTGGAAGCAATTACATTATGGCAAAGATATTACAAGACCTCTAAACAGTATTATTTCATTGCCTTCAAGTTAATGCATTTGGATTTCTATTATTTTGTATTAACATGAGCTAATACTATACAGTATCATTCTTGTTTTAATGCCACCTGTAGTGTATTGACTAAATAAAGTGTTACTTGGTTGTCTCATGCGCCTACGTCACTTGTCAGACTGTCAGTCGTAATCCGACATCCGAACGGAGCGGTTGTGTGTAGAATGTTTGTACAAGTGTTGTGGTGTTGGTGAGCCGTAAATCAGTCCAAGAAGCAGGACATTACATGTGGCGACGAGGAAAAAAGTGAGTACACATTAGTAAAACAAAAACAAAAGGGAAAGATACGGTGCAGTAAACAAGTGACGTCATTCCCAGAGTCCTTTGCCTATAATTTACTATGACCCGGTTGTTTTAATCATTAGCTATTGATAGCAGAAACAGTTGCTTCTTGACTTCTGAACGAATGTAGATAATTTTATTGTTGACGGGAAATATGAATTTGTATTACAATATTTAATATTGTCGTGCCTACATTTAAACAGTAAGCAACAAACCTCTGCAATTACTGAGCTAAGGATATAAACAAATAATTATCTATAGGTTCATCTAATCTAAACTACGGGCACCTACATTGAATGTACGATTGTTTTGTAGCACCTACCTACATAGTGATAGAAATATATTGTACTAGTAGACCGGCCAAGCGTTGCTGTGGCTAAGGTTTTTGTTATATTACAAAGTAGTTAACTATTCAAGGGAAACGGTACGAGAACACCAATCATGGGGACCACCATGCTTTATGGTGCTTATGCCATTAAATTGTAGAAACGTTGATAGAATTATATGAAACGTTGGTACTTTTAACACAGCGCCATCTGTTAGAATGGTGACTATTAAATAAGAAACAAATATTTTGCAATAAAATAATATTGCGGGTATAAATTGAGATGTACCCTATCTTTTAAGCAAGATCAAACTGCACACGGTGTGCAAATTTGATTGATATCGGTTCGGTAGTTTAGGAGTCCATAGCGGACAAACAATGTGACCAGTAATTTATATATACTAAGATTATGCTTGTGTTTAGTGGTGTTTCTATTTGTCTAAAAAAAAATAATAATAATAAAAATAATAGCAAGGTTTATTTACAACCGTTGACCGTTAAATCGGTAGGTACCTGTCTACCTAACTAACGCAGATTTAACAAAGACCCTTAATTGGATCTGGTTCAATAAATTAATTAAAACTATGTGGTTGTGATTAATACTGTAAAACAAAAGGAAGTATCTACTCAAAGCAGTTGGAACCCAACTGATCATTAAATTGATATCTGTAAATAAAAATAAAAGCAGACTAAAAGTCTGATCATTAAATTGATATCTGTAAGTAAAAATAAAAGCAGACTAAAAGTCTGATCATTAAATTGATACCTGTAAATAAAAATAAAAGCAGACTAAAAGTCTGATCATTAAATTGATATCTGTAAATAAAAATAAAAGCAGACTAAAAGTCTGATCATTAAATTGATATCTGTAAATAAAAATAAAAGCAGACTAAAAGTCTGATCATTAAATTGATGCCAGTAAATAAAAATAAAAGCAGACTAAAAGTCTGATCATTAAATTGATGCCAGTAAATAGAAATAAAAGCAGACTAAAAGTCTGATCATTAAATTGATGCCAGTAAATAGAAATAAAAGCAGACTAAAAGTCTGATCATTAAATTGATACCAGGAAATAAAAATAAAAGCAGACTAAAAGTCTGATCATTAAATTGATGCCAGTAAATAAAAATAAAAGCAGACTAAAAGTCTGATCATTAAATTGATACCAGTAAATAAAAATATAAGCAGATTAAAAGTCTGATCATTAAATTGATACCAGTAAATAAAAACAAAAGCAGATTAAAGGTCTGATCATTAAATTAATACCAGTAAATAAAAACAAAAGCAGATTAAAAGTCTGATCATTAAATTGATATCAGTAAATAAAAATAAAAGCAGATTAAAATTCTGATCATTAAATTGATACCAATAAATAAAATAAAAGCTTTACAATAAAATTATTATTGTATGTTAGTGGGTACTAACTTAACAGATTAAAAATCTGATAATTCATTTTATACGTTTGTTGGTTATGAACAGCTTAAGTAGATTTATGCGGATAAAAATATAATCCGATCATTAAATTCATACAAGATCATCTAAGATAAAATCTACAAACTTAGCAGATTCAAAATCTGATAATTAAATTTATACGTTTGTTGGTATGGACGGCTTAAGTAGCTTTATGCGGATAAAAATATAATCCGATCATTAAATTGATACGAGATGGAAGCATCTGAGATCAAATCTAACTGCAGATACATAGATATCTGAATCATTAAATTGATAAATTCCTGGTCGCTCCAAAGATGTCACTCCTTTACTGGAAAAGTTCGACTGTAACGGTAAATCTACCTCAATGGGTGCACGATGGGAGCGATGGAAACGAGCACTATTCATTTACCTCGAAGCGTCTAACATTGACGAAGACGTAAAGAAAAGGGTCTCTCTTCTACATTTCGGCGGGCTAGACTTACAGGAAGTGTTTTACAACATTCCTGGAGTTAGCTCCGTCGAACCAACTGAAGGCAAAGACGTGTTTGAAGTAGCAATATCTAAACTTGATGCCTAGTTTGCACCAATACAGAACAAAGTATACGAGAGACATATATTCAGGCTCCTTAAACAAGAACCTGACGAAAACATTATCGACCAAATAACGAAAAAAATGTTTTCTACCCGGACAGAGAAAAACGATATCACAGATTGGGGATGAAATTACATTAGAGCAAGTAATCACCGAAGCAAATACTCTTGAAGTTGTTAATAAACAATTAGACGACTTTAAAAACCCACTGAAATCAAATGAGAATCAAGAAGTAAACAGGATGGATAGTAAATCTAAAAGGGACTTTGATAAATTAAAGAATTTTGTACATGGATTCGGTAGATGATACTGCCGAACGAAACAGACGTTGAAGCGGAAAGTGGAAATATTATAATAATATAGACATGATCAAAAAAAAAAAAAAAAGGTCGTTTCGACAGGAAGAAGAACTTAAACATAGGGATATTATAGAGCCGCTAGTGGGTTCTTCTAAATGGGTGTCCCCTGTAGTGCCGGTGCAGAATACAATTACAATATTGGATATTAAAGATGCATTTACCAACTTGAATACATAGAGCCTGCTTCAAGAAACAACCACCTTTATAACCAGTTAAGGCTTATTAAGATACAAGAGACTCATGTTTCTCATATCGTGTAACCGAAAACTGGGGACCAGAACAAAAGGGGTATTTTAAGTCGTTGAAGGAAATCATGACAAATATTCCTAGCTTAGGGTATTATAATGTTAGCGATCGTACGATTGTCATAGCAGATGCTAGTCCTGTGGATTTAGGTGGAGTTTTAGTTCAAACTAATTCCAAAGGTGAGCCCAGGATTATTGCATATGGCCACAAAACTCTGACTGACTGTGAACGCCGCTATTGCCAGACAGAAAAAGAAGCGTTAATTCTCGTGTGGGCGGTGGAACATTTCCACATATTCCTTTATAGTAAAAAATTTGAACTTATAAGAGATCACAAGCCGTTGGAGGTAATATTTGGTCCTAAATCTAAACCATGTGCAGCCTGGATAGAGAGATGGGTTATGCGCTTACAATCGTACGACTATAAAATAGTTTACCAACCAGGGAAAACCAATATCGCCGACTCATTGTCGAGACAACAAATAAGCAAAAATGCGGAGAAATCCCTGATAAAATTGGAAGACAATCACATTTGTCATGCACAATGGACGATAGGAAAATATTAATCGTGAAAGAGGGTTTATATCGGAACATATGGAACGACGATGTGAAGTTGTATAAAATCTTACAAAATGAACTTTGTTTTCATGAGGGTATATTATTGAGAGGAATGAGAATTGTGGTTCCCTCGCCACTCCGTATAAGAGTTTTGGATGCAGCTCACGAGGGACATCCCGGTATCGTGTCAATGAAGGCGAGACTTCGTATGAAAGTCTGGTGGCCTAGATGCGACAGAGGCTGATAAAATTGTTAAAGCCTGTAAAGGATGTACTCTAGTATCTGCACCATGTCCACAAAACCCTATAAAACGGCGTGAGTTTCCAGAAGTGCTTTGGATTGATATCGCAATTCATTACAAGTGGTGACCACATATTATAAAGAAGTGAAGATTTGTCGCAAAATTACCTCTACTGAAATTGTAGCCAAACTTAAAGGAATATTCAGTCGATTAGTAAATCAATAACTGCAGATAATAGAAGACAGTTACTCAGCGAAGAGTTTAAATCATTTCTAACAGAAATAAACATTTTTCTTTTCAATACAGTACCATATTGGCTGCGACAAAGCGGAGAGGTCGAAAGACAAAACTGTGTCATACTTAAACGTCTTAAAATAAGTATAGCTGAAAATAAAGACTGGAAGGAAAGTTTACTGAAATATTTAACCATGTACATACAACACATTCTGTTACTGGAAGAACCTCATCAGAACTTTTTTCAAAAGGAAGTTTAGAGATAAATTACCTATGGTAAACGATACAATTGAGAGGACAGCACTAGACACTAAGGTTAAGGATAGAGAAAAAAAAAACAAATAGGAAAAGAAATCGGATACGATAAACGGAAGGCTGGATAGTGTGATTTAATACCAGGAGACATAGTGTATATAAAAATATGAATAAAGGAAATAAATAAAAATAAAATAAATAAATCCAGAAACACACACGGTGGAAATCACGAAAGGAGGAGATATCACGGTAAGAAACGATGAAATCGGTCAAACTCGAAGAAGGGACGTTGTACATTTGAAAAGAGTTCAAGGGAATGGAATGTCTGAAAAGAAATGAAGTTAACGACGAGGAAATCAATGTCGGAACTTAACCCTAGTGTAGCTGCATAAAACTTTAATTTCATTAATTATGTTTGATTCATGTAAAATCCATCACATTACATCCAAGTTACATTAATGAGTAATCAGAGAGATATAATCAATAAAAACAAATAAAACAAAAAAGGGATGTAGTGTATTGACTAAATAAAGTGTTACTTGGTTGTCTCATGCGCCTACGTCACTTGTCAGACTGTCAGTCGTAATCCGACATCCGAACGGAGCGGTTGTGTGTAGAATGTTTGTACAAGTGTTGTGGTGTTGGTGAGCCGTAAATCAGTCCAAGAAGCAGGACATTACACCACCCATAGAAGACTGAAGTCCTGCGAAATACTGTAGAATATATAATATGGATACTGTAGTGGATACCCAATAGATTCTCAGAAATTGAAACATACTAGTAAATAAAGAGAACAAACAAACTCACTTTGGTCTTAAGTTATATTCCTTTGAAATTTCAACTAGGAGGTTATCTGTAATTCTGAAACAAACGGATTTAAAAACTTCTTAATGAATGGAAAACCTGGAATTATAAGAAATAATACATGTATTTTGTCTCAAAAAGGGAAATCTGATAACACTATTAAACAAAAAATTAAATTAAATTCCTTTGGCGTTACAAGATAAAAATCTTTTCAAAAATTGTTTTCTACGTTTGTAGAAAAAACAACACTAACAGTAGAAAAAACTAAAATGTTGACTATAGCTAACTTCAGGGTGTCGGTTTTTTTGTGACGGTGTACGTGAGTAAATTTTTACGCATCGTAAAAATTTACTCACATCATTTTTCTTTAACGCGTCAAAAGAAGTATAACTTCAAATACCAAAATGTCAAAAAGAGAGTGATTATAATGATACACAATTTCACAGCCACTCACAGCGCAGCATTATTAACGATAGTACATAAAAAACATTTAATTCAAATTCGGCACAATAATGTTTATATGTATTACCTAATATCTCTTCTAGGAACTGCAACAGCTAGCAATATATCACCAAATATATAAACCATGTGACCATATGTCAACACATAATCCTTCTCAAGTGCTTCTACCAAATAATATAAAGGCATATTTTTGACCATTGCATATTCAATAATTTTATTACAATACGCAATTACTTCGTTATTATATGCTGGTTGCTTAAGCAGTGCCTCATTTGTTATTAACTGAACAAAACCTTCAATACAATTGGAATATTCCTTATTTGTTTTTATTGCTTCAATTTCATTCCATAGTTTTCTTAAAAATTGTGAAAGTTTAAAGTGTTTGCACTCTAATATTTCCTCAATTTTTAGATTTATTATATTTAATATCCATCTAATAGAGTCACAATCACCAGATTCTAAAGCATTATTCATAAAATCAATAATATCAGTAACATTTTCTATTGTATAATACTTGGCCATAACATATATGAATTCAGTTGCTTTAGAATTATAAAGATTTCTTAATTTCCCATTTCCCACATTAGTGTTCAACTTATTAACATTAGTTAAAATTCTTATCGTATCAGATGCAGAAATTTGTAATTCATGTTTTTGACTTGACTGAAATATTATATTTAGTAAATAGACACTTGTAATATTTCTTCTAATATCAGTACCATCTTTAAGTATTGTAATTGCGTTTTCATATATATTGTTGTGTGCTTGTTGGCAGTGTAAATTGTATAAGTCTTGATAATTATCCAGCATCAACAAAATATCTTCAGGCTCGTTATTTGTTTCACTTAGAGAAACATTAACAAACTCAATAAGCATTTCACTATTATCAATGAGAAGGCTTTTAATACGTGGAATAGAAAATGAACCTTCATTCACTTTTCTCAACAAAACCATCAAAAATATTGCATCTCCTATGCATTCAGACTTATGGTGACCATTTTTAATATTCAAAAGCATTTCATTAGAGATTTTTAAAAACTTATTTAAATCTGCTACATGTCCTATTAAATATAAAAGAATAAAATCTATGTTAAAATATGATTGTTTTAATTCTTTAAAAAATATGTTCAAATCTGTAATGCTTAATTTATCTTTGATGAGACTGTATAGAGCATTATCTTGTTTATTAAATCTAAGTCCATCTTTTCTAATGTCTAATATGTCCCCGCAGTTTTCAAAATTACATAGATATGGATTAATAAGATTGAATAGATGTAAAATATTTTTCCAATGTAGATCTTTACAGCAATTTCCAACAAAAGAAGATAAATTTTTATAGAATGCGTTTCTTATTACCACATTATTGCAGGGCACTTTTAATAAATCATACATAAATTTATAAAACTCACTGCTATCTATTTGCATTTGCACATCTTGCTTTTTTGCTAATATAGTGCTCAAATGGTAGAGTGGTATTGGCGACCATTTTATACAAGGAATATTTTTTAAAACAATTATAAAAAAGATACTATTTCTTATCTGCCCTTCAAACTTCTGTTTAATAGAAGCACCAATTTCTTCATGGTCAAAAATATTCATGTCATTAAATGATTCCAACAAAATTATTGCTTCAGAGTCATCTGTAACACTATTTTCTAGTCTATGTAAAATACATGTTGTTTTAACTTCCAAATTGTCATGTTGTAAACCAATATTAAAAGCACAATTGACCCAACATTTTTCAAGACCTTTTAATAAGGAAAACAAGTGCAGTGATGGTAGCACTATGTTACTCTGCTTCTCTTCTAAACTGTCAATTAAAATAAAGAAGTTTTCCCAATCATCTTTTAATTGTTCTTTCTTTTCAGATACCCATTCTAATGAAACACTTGGTGAAATAATTTTAATGTTCTTGTCAGTTACTAATAAGCAGTCTACAGCTCTTTTAAGAAGGTAAATGGCTAGTTTTCTATGTGTAGAAAGTTTGGAACTTAAACCACGAAGATTAATTTCCCAAAATTCATTTTGAGAAATAATATTAGATTCAAGAAAAATAACTCCACACTCATTTGGCAAAGGTAGATAGAAATCTGCTAAAGCACATAGAATATTTAGTGATATAAGACAATCGCTAGTTATTTTTTTAGTACAACTCCATACTCTATCCAATATATTATAGCCCAAGACTCCATCAAAGAGTCTCTTTACTGTTTTAGTAAGAAAATGCTTTTTTAGAGGTTCATTTTGACTTACAACTATGTTTTCTAAGGGCACATCTAAAAATGGCAAAGACAGTTTCTTGCCCATTCTTGCAACAGCTTCAAGAACACTATCACACAACTTTAAGGTTGTTAACAAATGCGTTTCTTCACATTCTATGTGTTGTTTTTCAAAAGATATACTTAATAGTTGTTGCAATAAATGTTCAGATTTAAAAACAATTGTACTTGGACTTAAACAGAGGACTACACTTACGATTTCACAAATGATATCAACATGTTTTTCATCTACTTGTTCTATTAATTTTCCGATAAATTGAAATTCTGCATCGTTGTCACATTCTTCAGCTTCTTTAATGTTTAATAAATGTTTATAATTTAGCATGTGCATCACATTAGATAAATGTTGATATGTGAAACTCTTTCGACTCATAACAGATTCGAGGCGAGAGTTTATCAGTTCTTCGTCCAAATCTAATGTATCCATAAAATACAACAAATCACTTTCCTTCATTTTTAATTGAAAATGAAATAGGTCAATACAACAAAACTGTTCACTTTTATATTTATCACGCTATCAAGCAATTTTTATTGGAAATGTTAAAGTTATAGTTATTTTGGCTTGATAAGTAAAACTACTTTATCTCCGAACCTTAATTACTTTTGTTTTAATTGTATGTAATTTGGCTGCCTGTATGGATTAGAAGGCCTTTTTGTAATAAGTTTAAACTTTAAAGCTAAAAGCACGTTTAAAGTTTAAATAGTAAACACTAAAATAATACTCTTATAACTTATTATATTAGTTTATTATCTATAGTAAACAGACTGACACAGGACACTCTTGACTCTACAGTACAACGTATTTTTTTTAACTTGTTTAGGCAAAGGCAGAGGAAGTTTAGCATGATAACTGACTAATGACAATTGATAATAATAGACACAAACCTAGGGATGCACATTCTGCATTAAAAAATCGATTTTTGTTAATCGATTGTTTTTTTAATATGAAAAATCGATTACTAAATAATCGACTTTTTCCTTATTTTTGAAATAATTTCAAAATAAACACCTTTAATATGTTATTTTTCATGGTTTTATTACTTAAAAAATAAACAATAGAAATTATAAACACAAATGAAAGTTTTATAATAATCAAAATTGAAATTAACCTAATCTCGTTTTGATAGATTTAAGGTGAAATTTGATAGATGCTGAGTGTATGCCTTTTCAGTAGCACATTGCAGTATTTTTGTTGTATTTTTTATTGTTATTGAACTGAAATTTATTTAGCAGTTCAAGGTGTAACCTTACCGATTTATTTTACTTTTAAATTATAGTTTTCAATTTTAACTTGAGTTTTTGTGAAATTAACTGGTTTTATCACCCATTCGATGTTTTATAAAAATACATCAATGCATCGAGTATATCCATACATCTTTAAAGCATCGGATCTATTCAATGTATCGCACTGTAAACATCGATGTATATTGAACATCCCTAATAGTTTATTTTAGTGTCATTGTGTTGGGAGGTGACAGATGAAAAATCGACTATGATTGATTTTCAATTATCAAAAGAATCTATTATTATCAATCGATTATTTTTAGTAGTAAAATCGCGTACAAAAATCGATTTTTTCCAGAATTGATTATTTTTTCACATCCCTAACACAACCGTGATACATCTTTAAAAATCAATATGTGTTTCAAAAGTTCTAAGGGCCAAAAACAAAATATATGGTGCATTTATCAGTTTGACTTGATTTGAAACAAACAGAGAGCTAAAAATAAAGGTTATGTTCAGTATGTTCGTACCTTAGCCTTACACAATCTGTTTTAGTTTTAGTGACTGCGAATCTGTGCACTTATGACAGCTCTAGTTCGAATTATAAAATTTTTCTAAAAAATTAGACAAAAATAAAAGTAACTTCTTGACTCTTGTAGTTTGTTGTAAATTTAATTTTTTCCTTAAGATTTTCGTGTAGTTTTAAACAGTGAATAAGTATAAGTTTGTTTATATTGATAGTATGCGTTTAGTAGTTATGATATATTTAATCAAATTGTAATCTTTTCTTTTAATATAAGATTGCGTCGTAAGGTCAATAATTAGTAGAAATGGATGATAATTTGCCAAGCGATGATGAAATGAAAGATTCTCCGATGAGCCCTAAATTAGGAGGCAAGAAATTAAAATTAAATGATGGGAGTTCACAAGACAGTCTTAACGAAGGGGGTAAGTAGTCGCTGTTTTTATTCCATAAAACATGTTGTAAGATTTCAATGACTTTATTTTTTTAGCATCAGGTAGCAAAGATATTCAAGACGAGAATGTGGACAGCGGTGTTTCTGCTGATAAATCTGAAAGTCCTAGTGAAGTAAATAGCGAAGAGCGTGCAGTTTCGTCTAATATGGAGCCAACCAATGAAGTAGTTAATGCAGCACCATCCAGCAGCAACGTGCGAGCTATTTTGCTGGATTTGCGACGCCCAAGACACTGCAGAATATATAGAAAGCGTAAGACACCTGACCGTGATTCTGATGAAAACTCTTCAAGGGATTCTGATGACTTGTCAAATGATGAAAGATCAGACAACATTCAGCTGTTTAATACTTACTATGAAAGTGCACCAGGATCTTCAATTAATTCATCTCCTAGCATGTAAGTGTTCATTAGGTACCTTTTGTAATTTAGTTAGTTTAGTTATTATTATTAATTACTTAAGATGTCATGTGGAACATGGTGTAATGGTTGCAGCTCCTTACAAACATTGTGTAAAAAAAACATGGCGATTAAAAAAAGTGGCGGACAGTTTATTGCCAGTTCTTCTCTTCCGTTCTACGCCCTTGATTTGAGAACTGGCACTAAATGTAAAATTAGAAGCATTTTTATTTATTTCTTTACTGATGAGTCATAAGTGTACAATGTGTTACCTATATGATTAAATGAATTTAGAAATTTTGAATGTTAATTATTTTACATTCAAAATTCAATACTTCATACTATTTGAAATACTATTACAGTAGTTCAAGTGATTCATCAGAAAGCAGTAATAATGATCACAGTGAAGATAATACTCTTGACTTGGAATTAGAAGAAGATGGAGATAGCGAAGACACTGTATTTCTTGAAAATGAACAGACTTCATCTCGGAATAAACAAGACACAGCAACTCCACCTGTACTTCTTAAAACAAAGCCTAAAAATAATTACGTAATTCTAAGAGGTAATAAAATAGTTACATATTTGTTTTAGTAGTGATGTCAATGAAATTGCACAATTTTCCTGAAACAATATCTAGAAAAAAAGAAGTGTAATAATATTTTATTTTTTTCATACAAGCCATGCAGCCAGTCTAATAATTGTATCATACTAGTTGTGGCCAAAAAACTTTGTATCAACTCCATGATCCTCAACAATGAACTATTTAATTGTTCAATTGCTTCTTTTAATGAAATAATATTTTATTTATATTGGTATTCAATAGCTTAGATAAAATGTATAATTATAAATGTATGTCATTGGTTTTTTTCTTAGATATATGAAAATAAGTTGTGGTATAGGGCAAACATTTTGTTTCTTGGCATTACCCTAAATCATGCCTAATTTCTTATTCTCTTTGGGAGAAAAAAATTAATGTGAATTTATGACCGTTTCTTTACAATAAGATATGAATGATTTACAGAAGTTATTAATCGTGAAATGGGGCTGACATTTCCATTGGGAAAAGCTATTAAAGAGGATGTAATTTTTGAGAAAAAGTTCTATGGCTCATTACATGCAGTGTACAGAATGGCAAAATTTGACTCACTAATGAAACATCGAGGCTGTGTTAATTCCATTAATTTTCATCCAGAGGGTAAGTACCTATAATTAAACTCATAACTTTTCTAGCCTGACAATACTTTACTAAATAAATAAAAAAGTCAGGAAGTTAATATGCCAACTATAACTACAATTATTGACACAATTTTTTTTTAATAAAATCATTTTATTGTGTCTAGTCTATATTTATTTAATAACTATAAAAACAGTATATTTTTTAAAAAGTACCTTAGTTAAAAGACGGCAATTAAGCTAATTTAGTTTTTAAAAGGGAATTTCTTGCTTCCACATTTCTATACATTGGGTATTAGATGATACTTTATATTGTCTTGGATAACCACATGAAGTTGACACCTAATAATTTAATACAATTCATCGAATTGTATTATTTTCAGTATTTCTTTTCGGTCTGTAGACCATACCCCACCTTGTCATACTTTTTTAGAAAATCTCATTGGACAACAATTTTAGCATAATGCTTATTCAGTAGACAAGCAACTCTGGTAGTAATTAAAGCCTATTGAAATGTTGCCATATTAACAGCATTTAGCCAGTTGGTATTTGGCACAATATTCTTGGATATTACAATTTTTTGGAAGTTAACGACCACTGCAATAAAACCCTTGTTATTGTGCAATTAAGTCAATGCAAATGATTAATATTCGTATTTCTTAAAATGATTTTTTTTTACAGGTCATTTATTGGCCTCTGGTTCGGATGATACCAATGTAATTGTTTGGGACTGGGCAAGAAATATTCCAATACAAACGGTGAAAACAGGACACAAATCAAATGTGTTTCAAAGCAAATTCCTGTATTTGAATGCACAGACGCAACTCAATATCGTCACTTGTGCGAGGGATGGACAGGTAAGTTGTATATTACAATTTATAAGAATTTAAAGGGTGATAATAGAGTCTAATTTGCTTGTAGGCCAATATTATTATTGGCTTGATATATTTCAATGATTATAATGACTTGCATTGTATATTGTTATTAAATAAATTAATGTTTAGGTTTGTACGGCATAAAACGGCTCTTACCCTCAGATTTAGAGATAGGACTTAGCCGGAGTCATACTTAGTGTTAACTCTTCACTCTAATATGAGTGAAAACTCGGTAAATTGGAATGACAAAGAGCATTTTATCCGTCGCCAAAAATGGATTGTCTTTTTAGGGTTTGGTTATTGGGATGCAGATAGCAGATCGACGAGCGTTGATCACCCTTAGCTGCTCACAAGCGACAGAAATTAATTCCAGACTATACTTATTTAAGGTGTATTTATAAAAATGAATTGTAATTGCACTAGGTCCGATTAATCCAATGTCCGGCCAGCGGAATGAGCGGCGCGTCGCGTCGTAAGCTCGCGAACCACGCTCGGCCCGCGCATAAAGTGCACGTTTCAGCTCACGAACCACATTTGGTCATCTCTGCCGGAGAAGACGCGGTCGTGATGCGGTGTGACGTCAGAGAGGAACATGGTTCCAAGTGAGTCGATGGCTGCATTATCTAGTAGTCGATACAACTGATATATTTAATCAACACTTTTTAGTCATTTAAATTTATGAATAAAACCGTAAATTATATTTAGTTTGATATTTCAGTCCGGGATCATTTGGTTTTTTATTATTTTATTTGATAAAACCATTGAAAGATCCATTGCTAAAATAGCATTTAATGTTAAATACCACAAATTATTTTTATTGAATTTAAATTTTCACAAATGTCGACAACAAGATACAAACAATGTATAGTTCTAATACATAACATGTTACATCTGAATATTTAATATATTTTTGTGTTTAAGTATCGCATTATTATAAAGTACTAGCTGCCCCCGCTAACTTCGTTTCGCTAATATGACATTTTACTTTACCTACCCTTTTTAGTAGCTACATACCAACATATGGAAATTTTGCTATGCTACCCTATTTAAGCGACTGATCGCTTTCAGCAATAAAAACCTAAGTTCTATATACAACTAAATTTTTCTCTTTTTTGTATTATTTTCCCAATGCTTCTCTGCATAAAAACCTTCCGCAGTGTTCTCGAATAAAATAAAAAATACTTGAATTAATTGGACCAACCTTCTTTGAGTTTTGAGCTTAGCGACATATTTTGCGATTAATTGTGTTAATTATGTACTTATTTTAAATAGTTTTGATTAATAATAATTTCAGACTATTCCAAGTACGCGAAACGACACCTATTCCCTTATATAGTGTGGCGGGACATCCTCTGAAACCGGAGCAGCTTTTGGTAGCCGGCCGCGATATGTATCTGCGAGTGTTTGACACGAGGAAAACGGATAAACCATTGAACTTTTACACGGCAAACTTCACTCCGGTGAGATTCAAATTTTTTTTGTGTATAATTGTATTTAATTGTTAATAAATAATAATTTATTTAAACATACTATAAGGTGTCTCAAAAGAAGGTTCATATTTAGTTGATCGTTTAAAAAAAGTAAGCCGTGTATCAAAAAAGTGTTTATTCATTATTAAAGTACACATTTTGGAAATCTTAAAAATAATACCGTCCAAATGTAGAGCCTCGTGTTCGCGGCACTTATTTAGTCGAACAATGAAATTAAAAAGTAAGGGCCGATAATCCCTCGCGCTGACATCGAAGCCCATACAGCCCCTATAGGCGAAAGAAGGGGTGTGTTATGCTTGCGTTTCAGATTCGTTTCACTCCAGTAGCGGCAATTCTGCTTATTTACGTGTCCATTAAGATGAAAATGAGTTTCATCCGAAAACAAGATACCGTTTAACGTAATAATCGTTGAAAACCGCTCAGTTACCTAATTTACGAAGTCAAGCCTCTGACTGGCATCTCGGGGCTTTAATTCTTGCGCCAATTGAATTTTGTACTGATACAGCTTTAGGTCTTTGCGTAAAATGCGGTGTAAAGAAGATCTATGCACATTTAAAGCACTAGAGTAAATAAAGCCTAAATGTAAACTTTTTTTGAGACACCTGTTACAACAATATAACAAGTCATTTGAACTTTTGGTAATTATCTCTGGGCCCTTGAGTTTCCAATTATCGAGAGTCGACTGTATATAATAAACTGAATACTCTAACCAAAATGTAACTATTTTTTTCTATTTTACATATAAGCGCCGCAAAAAACATTACAATTTGAGATATTTCATTGAACACTATCTTAAGCAACTACAAACCATAAACAAATCGTTAAATCCTGTCAAACATATCTGTGAAACTTGACATTTGACAAATTATCAAGAGTCCGCTGCACTTATACTTAAAATTCTATAAAGCATTATGGTTACTTTAATAGAAATTAAATAAGTTAAGCATAAATACAATAAAAATAATTCCATACACTATCCTTACAGAACAAAACAATACACAATTAAAATTCCTTTAATCAAATATAAAATTATTAATCTGAAATTACAGGTAATAGTCGTCTTTGAGTACATAATTAATGCGTTGATAATTTCAGAGGTCGGGAACGTCGGTTCACAAGTCAATGATGCATCTCACGTGCGCCGTGTACAACCACGATGGGTCAGAAATACTGGGATCGTATAACGACGAAGATATCTACTTGTTTGATACGAAACTTGATGTTTATGATAAGTAAGTTTTCTCTTCAAATTTGATGTTTTAAAGTTATTAAAAATAATTTTTATCATTAACGCTGTCTATTGCCACATATGTATTTGCATTAAGTCGAATTTTTACAAAAATGACAAATTGACTAATACACCCTTAATTATTAATATGGCAATACATATTTTAATAAATACTAATAGAGTAAGATCCCAGAGCGATAAGACACAACTTATTTTCTAAAGCATAGAACTTTCGGTTCTAAGTAGTCTCTGGTGTGCTTTTTAATACCTGTACGCTTATGGAGTTGGCTCGGTGACACCTGCGCAGGTACCAGGTGAGAAAGGTAACTAAAAATCAGAGTTACTTAAGTTAAATTTTAATGACTGATTTTTATATATATTTTGTAGAATATTACTCTGAAGTAATATCAAAAAAGTCAGACGCTTTCCATGGGCCAGAACTTTTGTCAGACGCTTTAAAGCTCTACAAAAAATAAATGAACTTAAGTTATTTTTAAATGTCTGATTTTTATATATGTTATTCAAATAAATATTACAAAGTTATATTTAATCAGTCAGACAAATTGTAATGACCAAACATCCCCTAAACACAAAAATTACTCAACTATGAGTATGAGCGCGAGAGCAGTATATATGCGTTTCTCTGGGATCTTGGACTATAAACCTTTCAGTTATTTGTCACTATCATGTGTCAAAAAAAATTATATCGACCGTTTATATATTGTAAAGTATAAAATAGCCCGAAAATCTTTAATCTCTGACCATATTTAAATATTGTACTTGAACGTGAGAAAATGGATTTCCAGGGACACAACGGACATCGACAAACAGACATACACACACAAATACAGCGGGCACCGGAATAGCGCGACATTCAAGGGCGTGGCCTTCTTTGGACCCCAGAGTCAGTACATTGTGTCGGGGTCTGATTGTGCCCACATTTACATTTGGGAGAAGCAGTCGGAGGCTATCGTTCAATGGATGGATGGGGACAATAGTGGTGTGGTAAGTGTTCAGAGAAAATCAATTCAGTAGTTTTGGAGATTAGCATATACAGACAGACAGACAAATTGATATTTTTTTTAATTATATCACTCTTTGCTCAACTAAACATGGTTATTGCATATTTATTTTAATGACCCGATTACAAAAAACTTCCAAATCTTATCTTCTTGTTAATTTAATGAAATAAAACATTAATTCGCCGCCGGAGGTTTTAAAAAACAAAGTTCTATGAAATTTTTAAATTACAAAGTGTGACAGCTCACGGTTGCTTTCTTAAAAGTCTAGATTATATCTATATTCTAAGTAACTTATATCAATATGCCCATGCCTTCGTTACACTGAGTAAGCACAGTTTGACACCATAACCATACAACAAAACATAGCAAAAATTTGTTTTTAAGAATGTGACATATTATTAAAGCAATATTACTGATTTGTGCATTACCTTTGTAGAATAATCTAGTGTGTATAGTTTACGTTTTAAAATACTTGCGAAGTATGGTAAATGATTCGTATTTAATACGTGTACGTATCGCATGACATATTCGATGACCATATTACAGCTTTGTCCACATTCTTGTGAATTAGAGTTATGAACAGAAGAAGCAGCTATACAAAAATTCGTATTTTTTTAAGACCCTTAAAAAAATCACCTTTGGCGTTAATATGATTCCCACATGCAATTTGGCAAGAGGCCTTTGATGCGCAGGAGTCATTTTATGTAACTTACCGCTGTACATAGTCTTTCCGACTAATATCTATTTGTATAAATTTCAGGTAAATTGTATAGAGCCCCATCCCCGCTTCCCAATAATCGCTTCAAGCGGGTTGGACAAGGATGTCAAGATATGGATGCCGTGTCGACAATCAGATCCTGATTTCAAAGGAATGGAGAAGGTATGGATCCACAATCTTTTCTCTTTTATTTGACCCTGGTTAAGTCCAGTTAATGATGGATGGCGTAGTCTTGCTCTTTCGTGAATTTTGTAAACGTTGTTGACATTCATAAGCATGCTCTAAGAAGCATCTAAATTGAATAAACGTATTTTGATTTGATTTGATTTAAGTCGGCACTATATTATCCAAAATATAGCGCCCCCCAAACTTTACCTTATTGCAAGTGATCGACGATTTAATAATTATTTTATTTTTTGACTGTTAAAAATAAATAAACATTTGCCCATTTTTGCCTTCATCACTAATGACATATTTATACGTATGCACTGTAGGGAGAGGGCAAATTCAAAATCAAAATTCATTTATTCAGTTGAAACACGTGATCAATTTGAATCGCCTACCCAACCGCCTGTTCCGAATTTCGACCAGCACACGAGGAGAAAGGCTCGGGCTAGTTTTTTTAATCGTCTTAAGTTACCTAGAAGATAAGGAAGCTATCAATTAAAAATAATTTGCACCAGCTATTTAATTTAATTAAATTGTTACTAATATAAGCATTGTAATTATATTAGTTACATTTTAAATTATTTTTAATTCCTAGCTTCCTTATCTTCTAGGTAATCCGATATTTTATAATAAGCTTTCCTAGAGAGTGTTTTATAATTGGTGACATATATATATTACGTCAACAGTAATTATTTACTTTTAACACATATTACCCACACATTGTCTTTGCTTGAAAACGAAATGCATTTTCGAGGATTCCTACAAAAAATTGTAGTACATAAACGTTATAGTTAACTATTGAGAACTTTTTTTATTAAATATCAAGACTAGGGATGCATCCGATACCGATGCCGATACCGATAAATCGGCGATACTTTGGGTTTGCCGATATATAGGCATCGGCGATATTTTCATTGCCGATTCACCGATACTTTTCAAATTTAACGCGCATTTTGTATGATCTAGTTTGTTGCAAACGAGCCACGGACTATTGTTGCCCGAGAAATCCCCGCGTTTTATTCAGTTTGTTGTCTCTATCATTCGCTTGGGGACAAAGCATTATTATTTATGTATATATGTATTTCATTTCGCTAAACACTATTTATTTATTAACACTTTGTTAAAATTGAACATAATTAAATGAAAAGGAGGGCAAAAATACATATTACATATAAACTAAAAAAAGTCTACATGAAAAATAAAAAATGCACATGAATCACGATAATTTACGATCAGTCTCACGTCAGTTAGTAGTTAGTACGAAAAACTCTTGTTGGATTGATTAGTAGATTAAAATTTTTACTCGAGTCAACTATCTTTGCCAGCGCATAGTTATTAGTAGACATCGGATTATATGCACTATCAAAATGCCAAAATATGCATGCAAATATGCACTAAAAAAGGGCGAAATATGCATAAAATATGCACAATAAAAATGCAATTAGAATAAAAAATAAAACTAATAATTTATTACATAGAATTAATTAATAAACTTATTTATTATAATTCTTGTGACAGTAAACAATAATATATTTTTCCAAGTTTTCTTGAGCAAACTTGTGACGTTTGTCACTTAATATTAATTTATAGGCTGAAAATGACCTTTCTACGTCAACTGACGTTACCGGACAGAACTTAAAATTTGGCGCCATTTCTGCAGAGACCTCTTCAGGCAGACTTTGTCCGGTGCCGTTGATAAACGCGTCAATTTTCAAACCGGGGTTTTTATACAAAACTGCATTTAATTTGCCACGAACTTTTTGCGATAGTCAACTCGGAAGGGCATTACTCTGTTCAATAATTTTTTCTATTGTTTCCAAGGACTGGCATAGAGGAAAGTTTTTTGTTTCTAATTTCTCAATCGCATCGGGTATATTACTGAAATGTGTTGAGATAATAGCAATATTTGCCAAACACGTATACCTAACTATTGAAATAAGCACTATCAATGAAAAAGTACCAAAATATGCAATAATGCTGTAAAAATAGAATTATATGCATTTGCATATGCAAACATGCAAATGCATATAATCCGATGTCTAGTTATTAGATATTATGGCTTGCGGGAGATCATTGAGACTTTATTGAACTTAGATTTGAAGATCATTTAGTTGGCTTTTAACTGCTATCGCGAGTAGTATTTTTTCGATACCAAATTTAATAAAATACAGAATAACAACAATGTTATCATTGTTAATTTTAATTATTAACAGTTATTTATTTTATTTTAATTAAATTATTACTCTTAATTCTTAATTTTAGTAACAAAACTAAGTAATTCAAAGTTTGTGACTATTTTTTTATATATTTTTTAATAAAAATTATAAACTTTAACTTAACTTGATATATTTTACCTTAATTTAATTTTAATTCAATAAGCGTTGGTATCGGTATCGGTATCGACGATATTCCTATAAGTGTATCGGCATCGGTATCGTATCGGCAAAAAAGCGTATCGATGCATCCCTAATCAAGACTATTGTCAAACTATACTGAAGTAACTGAAAACATAATAAAAATGGTTCAATACTGCAACGACCTCAAATCCCGGTTTTTCGTAAGTCAGGAATTAGGTATTGTGCTTCAAAATTTCCCTTAAATAGGGAAACAAGAACATTGTTTGTTATATATAAGGTATTTATGTTCATAGGTCGTTCGAAAGAACAGCGTGACCCGCTCTAGTCCAATGTTCACGGATTTTTTACCAACACTTTATAGCGCCTGGCGTGGGACATTATCCGACGAAGACTCCCCGGCCTACGGGACTAATATAGACTTCGATGGCAACGCATGCACCACTTTCTAGCGTTCTAGGATTTCTCATCTGAACTAATTTCATGTTTTGTATATAGCATAAGTTTCAGAAAGGTATTTGATTTTCACACTAATATTTTTTGTATTTATAACTTTAAAATTTTATGAATATCTGTTTTATTTAGGTTTTATAACATTGCTATTCTAAAATAAAGGCTTTATTTAACATGGCAATATTTATATCTATGTATTACCAAATTCTGTGTCATATGTTAGACAATATTTAAAAGGAATTTGTTTATTTACGAATAATATCTTCGATTTAAATGTACACGCGCTTATCAGGTGTCAAATATGTTTGTGGCACGTTTACATATATTCTCATTAGTAACATGTAATATAACAATGTATATTATGGTTAAAATGTGTAAAAATGCAATTTTATTGTAAAAAATTACAATTAGTTTGTGGGGCCTTATACATTGACTAAAAAGTTTTAGTGTTTGTGGTGAATATTAAAACTTAACCATGGCAACATATAGTCCACATTTTTATAGGTTTGTGTAAGAATTTTGCAAAATCTAAAAAAAATTGTTTTATCATTATGTAAAAATATTGGATACTTATTAAAGATTTTCTTATTCCTCTACTGCCAGGACTTCATTAATATGGCATATAAAATTTCTAAATTTGACATAGCGTCGGCACGAAATTTGAATTACAAATCGACTCTGGTGCGTAACTAGAGGTAAGATTCTCCAGAATTCTTACGCAGAAGTTAGTGTTAAAAAAATTACTTCAATATAAATCAAAAGACAAAATTCAACAACTGTTGGGATTTGCTATGTTGTTTTTATCTATAATTTATGTAATTTTGAAAATCCCATAAAAGTTGATAATAAAAGAAAATTATTTAAAGTTATAAATAAAAACCCAATTTTAACAACCAAAATTCTCAGTCAGCCCTGCCTTGCGATTCTGTAACTCACTTTTGATAAACAATAAACTACAAGCTCCCACCACATCAGAATGCCAAATCATAAAATGACTGCTTCACGACTGATTTGAGAGCGAAAACCGCTGTGTGAGTTCGAAAAGTGTGTTACAGAATTGCAAGGCTGGCTTTTGAATATAAATTTCTAAAGCTAAGTAGCAATCTCACTTCTATATGTGCCTTCTATGCATTCAAACCCAAAAGGTGTTCTTAGGAGAGCAGGACCAACGGCCATTTATCTTGTTTCTTAATCACCTAAAGTTTTGTATATATACATAACAGTAAATGAACCCTTACATACCAATTGTAATGAATGTAAATAAATTGTTGTAATAAAATTAGTATAATTTTTGAAATAGTTACTAGTGCTAGAAATTGTATTTAAACCTTAGATTTAACCACGGAAGAGATAAATAAGATTATTTCCTACTTGTGTGAACAAAATGTTTGCCATCCATTTAGTATAATTAAGAACATACTTATATAAAAGCTACACGCTTGCCTTATTTGTCTAATGGAATTTTAATATTGAGCAAAGTTGATTTTGTTTGTTGTAAACAGTTCTTGAAATTGTAATCGGCTTTTATTTGTTTTCATTTTTTTTACTTTATCATCATGTGTAGTGTAACACAATGGCATACAAAGTGTTTTCGGATAAAATATATCTTAATTCAAAAAGTTATTTGCTCTCTTTGTGCTTAGTTATAATAAAGTGTGAACCAAATTTGTAGCTGTTTTCACATTTATTTGATACATATTCACATGGCCTTCTATATATATGGTTATATCTCTGAACGGTCCGTACGTAGTAGAGGAACGCAAACTATAACAATAATAAAAAAATGTAACCAACTCCAAAATGCATCAAAAAACGTATTCGAATACACGAAGGCGACTTATGAATTGTAAAACTTCATTGGATTGCAATCCTGATGATCACGGTACTTGGAAATTTCTACTAGTACATATTTTCCCGGTTATGGTGACACTTGATAGTTTATACGTCGTACATAATGAAACTAATGTGCTTATATTAAATAGCTAATACTCAATTGTAGATAATTGTTAAATAGCAAATTACTATGGAATAAAACGTTAGTTTTCTTTTAATGGAATATTAAGGTTAAGTAATGATTTTGTACATTTTCATATTTGGTTTAATAATTATATGAAGGCGTCCTGTCAAGTGCAATAATTGTGGTGTATTGTAGGCTAAAGACTGCAATAATTAATTGAATTGCATTTAAATATAAGTGTTTAAATGCAATTCAATTACATTTATGATTGACATGGGTGAGATTAGACTATTTATTTCGGGATAATAACGGTTTTATTTGTTACCAAATGCATTAGTCAATTGTCAAAATCGGTCCTAATGACTTTGAAGTTATTTGGACAATAGACGCCAAACTTAGGGCTCAGGTAAAAATCCTAGAATACAATGCTTTATGATTTTACCAGTAATTTATATAGAAATCTTATTACAAAAGTAAAGAATATCGTGGTGTTTTTAAAAATTAAACCAATCAGGTTTTTTTCTACTAAATTCATTTACGCGAGTATCACTTATTATTCATATTATATATTTAATTCCACAATTTCTACAAAAATTAAGTACGGTTTTATACAAAAATATTTAATATTTTTCAAGTTCAAATAAGTTGGAACAATTCCCTATCGACTGCACCGTTTTATGTGTAAATTCTAGGACTAATAACTTGCTCACTGACATGACAACAAGTAGGTATGTAATCTTTAACCGATTTAATAAAATATTTTATCAGTTTGACCTGTATATGTATTTGATATTGATGGAATTTGATAATATTTGAGTTCAGTAATCTATTCAGGCTTCCAAACGAATTTTTTTGTATGTGTGTGAAAATTGTGAAAATTTCCCGGAAACTAAGACATATTGAGTTAACCTTTTTGAATTAAATTAGGTATATTTCAACTAAGAAAACAGTTAAAGTCTTATCAAAATCTTTTAAGAACTTTTAGCGATATGGGTATCCCATACACATGTACGCACGAAAGGCATAAAATATATAGGTACCTAGGTAAATAATAAATTATATAGTTAATTCCTGTTCAGTTGTCAGGTATTTGACGTCGACCAAATTTTTTTAATTACTTTTTTATTTTTCTACTAAAAGTAGGTACTTTCTCTAACCTATGCAAAATCTGACCATGTAACGTGATAATATTTAGACCTAAATAGATATATAAAATAATAAAATTGTAGCTACAAGGGAAGGTCAAAGGTTTATGCAGCTAAGTGTAAAAAGTTTAAAATAAAACTAAAATTTATAAAAAAAATGCATTTTTCGCCATAACTCTACTGTCGAAAAAATTTATATTGGAGGACTCGTCAGTACACTAGGTAGACGACAAAGTCACCATTATTTTTGGTATGGCTTGTAGTGTTTAATGTCCGAATTTGGTGGTTAAACCCTTTTAATTCTAATAATAATATTACGTTGAAGAAGAAGGATGGAAGAAGTTCCAATCCCTGTCAACTGTAAATAAAATAAACTGCGCGCCTACTCAAATGACCATACGCCGAAGTTTCTTATATTTATTTAAATCTAATGGTATTAAATAGGTATCTCTCGCACACATTGATTTCACCCATTTATGAAGACTGAACATTATATATTATTATATTCATAATCATTGATGCTATCAAATTGAATCCACTTAGTATATATGTATATTAAATAGAAGTACAAAAACTTAATATATTTTACAACTATAGATACTATAATAAGGTAGGTAGTATATGAATATGATATTAAATGCGCATAAAAAACATATTATTTGCATCAAACTTCAAAGTACAAACATTTCCCGCTATTTTCGTGATTTATGAATGACATGACAATTAGCGACACGTAGTGACCAAATTAGGAACTAAAAAAGATTTTTTTGTAAAATCCCTTCGATTTACATAAAATGATAACATTGACGACAATCCCACTAAGTTCAGCATAATAGAAACATTATTTATTTTAGTTTTAATCATTAAATTGTAATGGTTAGTATGACTTTAGCAGAGTTTTTATTTTCATAATTGTCCACATGCTGCTTTCAATTTTCCAATGGTCGCAGTTCTCGACCAATCAAATGCGAGGCGTGTAGAAGCCCGCGCCATCTTCGATTTCAAACTCGTCTCGTCTCCGCCGCTCGTTCACTTGATCAGTCAGTCGCGCGTCGGTTTCGAACCACTATATACTTAACTTGTTTTAATTTTAGTAATTAATATAAAAATCAGAACAACCATGAGCTCCAATGATAAAAACAGTGAAGTGGCCGTAGACAAGGTTGGCGAATCGGGAGACGCGAAAAGTGATCTAAAGGGAGCCAAAAGGGCAGCAGAGGTGAGTGCACATGTCAGATATTGTATTCATTTTAGAAACTCGCCATTTTATTGAATGTTGAAAATTAGGTTATCTTTGGTATGTTCCCTATCTTATGTGGTCTTTTTATGCATTTTACGTGGTATTAGCAAGTAGTCACGTTTTGGCGCTCAAATGACATGAAGTGGTACCGGCTTATACTGAGTATAATATAACAAGCGTGTTAGCAGCATGAGGTAATCGATGAGTCACTTAACGTATTTTATTATGAAAAATGATATAATTATCTTCGTAAATAAACTGAAAACGTTCAGTTTTAGTTGTTTTTAGGTTTGTTTACTCATTTTCGACAGGCAGGCATGACCTTGGTAGAAAAAACATGGCGCGAGAACGTTCCTACGTACTCTCATGTCCTCGTATAGTTTCTGTGAAGTTCTGAAATAAATTGTCTACATGACTATCGATTTTAGAGACAACGTTGTTATTTTTGAATCATTTTCATTTGCATCTTGATACCTACCCAATAGCGTGACGCTATCTGTATATTTTATAGAAACATGGCGGCCGCAGCGCGTGAATGTCATTGTAGAATGTGGTCTGCCATAGATAAAACTAGTAAAATGTGCATTTTATGACAGGCCATGTTATTTTTATTGAACTTATTTAGGTTATTCATTAGTTTTGTTAATCGAGCCGACACGATTAAATTCTATGTATGTAACTAGGACTTACTCAAATTTTAAGTTAAGTAGGTATGTAGTCAATGACCCGGCTTATTTGCATTCACACTTCCTTTGTTTTGCGATGGACTAAATCTATGAAGCGCAGGTTGTCTAGTTTAATGAACTGACATTATTTTTATTTAATCAATAAAGGTTATTTATTTATTTACATTTCCGGCACCAAACAGTTGCAGCGTAGGTAGTCTGTTTAAAATAATTGAAGTTCAATCGCTAGGTGCATCTTTAAAAACTAAATCTAATACACCTTGTCGTTTTGGCGGTTAGTAAACGTTCTCGGTTCTACGTCACTGCTCATGCTTTGGCCGACCGGTCGTCTCCCGTACTCTTTGCCACCGAATATGAGACTTTATTGACATATGATAACTGAGCCTAACTCTTGGTAATTTACAATAAACCATGTTAAACAACTCTTGCTTGAATTGGTAAATGAATTTTATCTTTCCAACCGCTCTCTACTTTGTACATAAGGTCGCGTTTTCTTTAAAGTTTAGAAAACTTAGCTCGTTTATTTTCTTGTTTCCTTTCCTCACACGTCTTATTACCCACGGCACTATTGTTACGTACCTTTTTGTCACCAGCGAAGCATATCTTGCACGTTAACAGGAGTCATTTTAATCAATACTGGATGATAGCCAATTTAAATCAGTTAATTAAATATATATTTTTTAAATAATTTGTTAAAAAATAAGATTTAATTTATCTTATTAGAATGTTATGTTCTTTAGGAAAAAGTTACGGAGGCGAAAAAGGCGCGAAAAGAGGAAAACGGTGGCGGTGGTGATGATGGAGCCCACAGTGAAGAAGAGGATATAGAGGGAGAGGGTGAAGAAGGAGAGGATGATGATGAAGAAGTGGAAGGGGAGGAAGGTGAAGAAGATGAGGAAGAATTAGCTGAAGAAGACGATGACGACATTGAAGGTATTTTAGAAATAGGCCCATCAGAACATTTGCATTAAAAAAGTTATTAACACAAGTATTTTAATCATTGATAATAATCAACTACCTGTAGAAAGACAAAAAGTATATAGGTATGTTTTAATATCAAAAAGTATTTCCTTTTTCATTGCTCATTGCTGAAAACTCTTAGAAACCTACAAAGTTCCTGATTCGTCTAGACTTAACCCTCATTTGATTCTTATCTTACCTGCACATGATAGGTCCCATTATTAATGTAAACGACCAACAAACTTGTTTTATTATCGTATTCTTATATTTAACTATTTGGAATTCAAATATTTAAAATGTTGCTGTTTTTGCAGATGAAGAAGTTGAGGAGGAGTTAATAGATGAAGAAGAAGAAGATGACGCGTAATAGGGCTCACGCCTTTCTATGGACAATGTCACAGTGTAGTAATTATGAGTGCATGTGACGCCCGGTTTCGGCCTCGGTTCGCCCCAACTGAAAGCGACAGCGGCACCAGCCCAGTTGGGAACTTCCGAGGCCTACGCTCCCACCTAAAAACGGGTGCACCTCTGTTTAAATGACAAGATTGTAATTAAGTCTAAATCCAGTGATTTTCAATTTTTTATCAAGTTCAAGTATGGTTACTGGTTGCAACAAATATCTCTTAAGACTTAGTAGAATGCTGTTGAATTTTGTCATGAAATGTACAAATGTGTTTTGAAAGTAAAATTAATATCTAAGTGAATCCAATCTGTATTTAGGTTAACCTGTGAGCCCTAATGGTGAAGTTGTGATATTTTTCTGTACTGACCAATGACCATATATTTTCACATACAGTAATTGTAACCACAATAGATTGTTATAATTTATAGAATAAGTCACAAAACTCATACTTTCGTTGCGGGTGATGAGTCTGTGTGTACATATTTAGCATAAGTGGAGCTTAAGAATTGCAAATCGTAGTGAAATATCACAAGACTAATCACTTTTATTATACAAAATAACCAGACTTCCCCACAACTTACTATCGTTTCATTCGAAACTTTGCTGAAATCTTTAAAATTACAAAGATTCTAATTATGATCCGTAAAGTCTCTAATTGCTATAGTCAACTAACTTTTCCTGTGTATTAACACAAGAAAAACATCACAATTTTGCCATTATCTTGTGCACATCGCGCGCCCGCCGCTCGCTCCCCTAACGACTGATAACGAGAGCGCGACGGCCGCCGCGTACGTAACGCGTTGCGATAGCGAGCCTTCATACCTAAAACCGGCCTGTAATTTTGTCCATATTATAATTAGGATTTAATTTCGGCTCGGTATTTAAACGTTTCGAAGAACGGAATAAGAGATTCCTAGGCTAAAAATTAGTATGTAGGTTGGTACGTAACAATAATTCATGAGGGGACGCGCCGGGTGCTAGCCGGGGAGAGGGGAATGCGCGGCTTGTGGCGTCAGCGTCTCCCCTCCCGCGGAGCGCGTGGCCTCGTTCGATTTGCCGCGCTGGGCTTGGGTCCCCGCGCCCCGCGCCCTCTTCGCTGGCGTCTGTCGCGACCGACACCTACCGACCGACGGCAACGTGTCGGCCGCCATGAAAATCACTCATCGAGCGATATCCATTGCTGCTCAATACGTTGCACTCCTATAATAGCGATGTATGACGAGGCTTTGTCTAACGTCGAATCCTTGTGCATATTATTTTCTCGTAATTCGCGCGCCCGTTGCTGAATGCCGGTCGATTAAACAATAATGTGCCGTAAATGGTTATATTTTTTTTACCTAACACCTGGCATACAGTAGACGGCGTTGTGGATCGAGCGGCTTAGCAAATATTTCTCCACTGACATTAAAATAATAATATTGGGGGATATTATTTTAATACACTCGTTAAATATAGTAATAATACTTATAGTAGTTATGGACAATGAAATAAATTCAAATTTTAAATGAACTTTTATCCTTAATTCTGACGTCCCGCCTTTTTTAAATGGTAAGATTACTATGCTGTCGCATATTGTGTACGATGTACGGCTGATGTGAATACCTTAGTACGATTTATTTATTTGTGATGTTAAACACATTGATTTTCTACAATTGACGAAATGTAAATACAACTGATTTAAGTAAAACGTTATTTTGTTTTCTACGCTTATTTATTTGTCCCTAAGCATGTGCTCACGGTATCAACTATCAATATAACCTCAATCTTCTTGCCAAATTCTATTTTTAATAATACTTACAAAGATAAGCTGTTATCAAAATGGAGACATCGGTATTAGGCTAGCAAACAAACGTACTATGTATCGTGGATGGTTACAGTTTTTAGCTTACATTCTACTTAAAAAAGGTTTACCGTGCAGATACGACATGGACATTCCGCACGAGTCTTCATAACAAAATGAAAAGAGCTACACTATATACGGGATATAAATAATTACTAATAACAAGCATTTCGTAAGAAAGTATAACAAAGATCTTTGACCTGCAAGTTATTTTATTGATTAATTCAACAGCTGGTACATAATAAGTTTAGTACCTATATTCCTATAATAATGGTATGGTGATAGGAACTAGGCTACAATTAAATGAATAAAAAATTAAGATGTTACATACTTGATTTTTTTTGTTGTGACAGGTGGGGAGTGCCCTCTAGCGTGAGCTAAAAATACATGTTCTAAGCAGGTACAGAGACATCTTGTGGTAAATAGTTAATGAGCTGGCAGAGACCGGGATTTGGCGGTAAATTCAAAAATTTGTAATGATAAACGATAAAATAGCAATTTTTTAAAATAATTTAAATCCTTATTTTTGCTATTTTTCTAAAGGCGACGTGATCATTCAATAAATCCAATCCTAAATGTTTAAAGTATGTGTAAAGGTTTTTTTCCCGTTATGGCTCTGGCACGGTTTGTGCATTAGCCAGCGTCAAGTATAAGATTTTTATAATTCGTGCTTGCCTTAGAAATTCGACCGTGTCCTCCATGTACGGTTTAAGCACTCGCCCGGTACCGCACAACCCTCCCAAAGGCCGAGAACAAAATTAAATGAAAACTTGCCCCCGAACCGGGAATCGAACCCGGTACCCCTCACCTAGCTGCTGCCACTTAATAAGACCGCTAGGCTATGAGGCCCTTAGTGTGTAAAGGTTATACTGATATTAAAACTTACTTGTACAGATACACAATAAACCAACAACAAAAAATATTAAATTGAATTTACGAAATATTAATAGTATCTGATTCACCAATAATATCATATCTATCGGTAGTTAAATAAATCCTAATGATAAGTATGTTAAACGTAAATCTACTCGCTTAGATACCTACTTAGTTATTGTTTCTGCAAGACTTCATTATTACCTCTTATCACAACTTATTAATATTGTAAAGACGCGCCGTATTATAATGAAAATACTCTTTTTATCTGTTAACGTACCAGTAAAGGGGCGTCCATAAATTACGTGAGGTGTTTTTTTTTTAATTTTCTGACCCTCCCTCCCTTCCTGGTGAGATGTCGTGAGATTTTATTTAACCCCATGCCCCAATCTCACGTGAGATTTTTCAAAATGTGGGTTTCTTACGTAAACGCGTTGGATTGTTATTGTAAAAAGAAAAAATATTGCTTCGTGCTTTTATTTACGACTAGTTAAGACAAGTAGTCAATATTGCTGAGAGTTTAATTATAAGTGTACTAAAAATTTAAGAATAGAATATGTACTTAAATCGTAACTACTGTGATTAAAAAAAGAATATCTACTCTTATTCAGTCCATGGAGAATCATGCGCGGTCTCATTATTCAAGAGTTATTGCGGTTTGAAAATTAAAAAAATAGTGTTTTATCAAACTTCTATCAGACTAAAGACAGCATAAAGAAGCTATCTCTTTGAGCTCGGAGATCTCAAAATAACACAGAATTCGTACTTTTGAGCTCGAAGAGCTCAAAAACAAAAAAAGTGAAATGTTGTGCATTTAGGTATGGAGTTAGCGGGAAGTTGCAGAGATGGCCTTTTGGATCACCCGTTTTCCTATATTTTTTTTCAATCAGAAAAAAAATTGCGTGATATTTGCCGAGACCCCCCCTCTCTCCAAAGTAAGATTAAATGAGATTTGACTCGACCCTCCCCCCCCTTAAACACCTCACGTAATTTATGGACGCCCCCTTAGCTGGATAGGTTGTATTAATAATAATTACGTAGATAAGATTTACTGTGAGTTCTAAAAGTTCTCTTAAAATTAATACATATGATATTTACATTTAAATATAATTGTAATTGGTCTGAACTCTGAGGGAAATATAAGTCATAACTAAAAAATATTGTTCAAGTGAAAATAACGCATTCAATAGATTGTCAATTGCCATCAAAGATATGTCACTTTGACGGCTTTGTTTAGGTATGCTCTGTAAATTGTAGACAGTAATCAGTTCCAGTATTAAAAATTTTAGTCGGTGTCGTACAATTTGTTCTGCTGCACGTGTCGTTATCGAAGTTCTATCCATGTGTTATGGTTAAACGTATATCGTAAATTTAATTACAATAATCATATTACCAAGTGTACCTACTTAATTAAAGAATAGTCTAGTTTTCTGAAACAAAAATAAAATGTGAAAGTGTTGCAACTCATCCAATCAATTGACCGAGAACTTGAAAACAAAATTGTGTTTTGTTATTATACGGTGATTTAAAAAGGTAAATATTGTTATACGTTTCAATAAGACCCTCTTCGGAGTTAATTTGTAAAAAGAAAGGTATTACAGAGACATATTATTTTATATGGATTTTCCATATAAAATCTAGCTGTGTAACAAATGACTTTTACAGAATAAAGAGAATTTATTTTCCCACAACAGGACATGGGCCACTTTTCTGTGGCTGTTCCAAAATGCAGTTATATTGTTACAGTAGTCTATCTAACATTTGACTTATGTACACAAGATTAAATATCCTTATGCAAATAATATAAATGCTATATACCAAATAACCAAGTTTGAATAATTACGCGCATTAGACCAATAAAATACTATACTGGTTGGAATGAAAGCGTCATTTATTTTTTAATGACGTCCTTTTTTCCAATATGACCAATATGAGACAAGAGAGATTTTGCCGATTTCGTGAAATAAGACAAACTAGCAAAGCATGGGTTCCTAAATAAACACAGGCTTTGCGTAGGTATCTGAACACTTAAAATAATAATTCTATCTTTAAAGATCATTAATAAATATTTGAACCAAATTAATAAATGCAATACACAAATAATTATAATTAGTGTACTAATTTTTTATCGCTACACGATAATTCTTCAGTGGATTCTTTGTTCGTATACAATCAGATATTGTATTGACCGATAGTGCGATATAATTTTTGTTTTTCGTTTAAAACAAAGACAATGGCATTGCTAATTTAAACATTAGTCACGCAATAATGGCTAAACCGTAAGACGTTTGCAGGCTGTTCTACATCGGTAGGAAATATTGTAGTAATGTCTTTTGCGATGACTGTACTGTGTGAATCATTTAATAGCTTATAAATGTACTGATTGTTCTGTTAGTAAACGTTAAATGTATATAAATAATAGTCATGTGTGCAACAGTTAGTCAAAAACGAAACGGCTGGTTCCACATAGTGGTGGAAGTAGTTCCGAATCAATTCGACTCCGTCCTATAAGAAAAGAGCTTACAATTTTTAAAAGGCGTATATACTTGCGAACCTTCTGGGCTCATACCCACGAGACGGCTCACCGCGCCGGGAGTAGCTCCGGTGCCGTCGGTCGTGTGGTTGGCGTCATAGTGTCCCATAGGCCATACAAGACTGATGACCGGACGTAGACCCGGAGCTAAGCCCGGCGAAAAACCGTCTCGTGGGCATGAGCCGTCCGGCTGAATGTTCATTGAGTCTCCTACCCTATAGCCCCTTTTTATATTAAAAAGACATTTTAAATGGTTTTTATAAAATATTCTGGAGCTCTGATGCAGGCTGGTTGTACTATGTATCATCATCATCATCAATCGTTATACAGCCCCTTGTGGGTCTTAAGTACACTTCGCCATCACAATCTATCCTGGTTAGGGCATCGAGCCCGGGTTTACCCGGACCGAAAAAACCCGGGTTTTCCCGGTTCTGAGGATTACAAAAAAACCCGGGTTTAATTTTTAAAACTCGGGTTTTTCGGGTTTTTTTTTAATACTTTTGTTATTGTTATTTATTTAGTTTAAGCCACTTCGAATGCAATAATAAGTAAATGGAATAAAAAGACGCTTTGATAAATTGTTCTTTATTACGTAAAAAGTAGCTTCGTTGCTACGTTCCTACCAATAAAACAAGCCTTGCAAGCTAAATTCGCGTTCCGCGCGTCCATCTCAAGACATGAATAGAGTGAAGTGTGGAGCAGTGGAGAGGGGAGGGTGTAGCAAAGCTTGTCGCGTGTTGTGCGGGTTTTGCCGGTGATGATTTTTTTTAAATAAAAGCTTTAATTGATTTAAAAACAGATATTGTATTTACTGATGATGACTGGAGAAATAAAGATGAGATCCAAACAATATTGGATGTTATTAAAACTGTCGTCGAGGCGCTATGTCGACGCGATGCAACATTACTTACACCTGATGTTTCCCTAAAATTTGCATTGAAGAAAATGGATGAAATGAAGACACCACTAAGTAACAAAATGGCAACTGCATTTGGCAAACGATACCCCAAAAAAAAAACTAACTCAAGCAGCCACACTAC